TTCATCTTTAATACAGGGTTATCGAATAAATTGTATTGGGGTATGTGTATATTCTTTCATCTGTTGAGACTTCCTTTGTGACTGAGTATGTGGTCAGTTTTGAGAATGTTTCACAAGCTGCTGAGAAGGTATATTCTTTTGCATTAGGTTGAAATGTTCTGTAGATACATTTTTATACACAGTTGAGGCATAACATATGTTAGTTTCATCATTTCTTTGTTGTTTTCTGGTTTCACTGAGTATTCAGTTGGTGAGACTTGGGTTATTGAAGTCTGCCAGTCTTCATGTGTGGTGTTCAATGAGTGAACTGAACACCACACATGTTATTGGGATGTTATCCTGGTGGATTTTAACAACTATAATTATTAAATTTCATTCTGTGTGTCTTTTGATTAAAATTGGTTTGAAGTCTCTTTTATTAGATATCAATGTAGCTTCACTAGCTTTCACCTTAGGTTCATTTGATGGGGAAATGCCATTATATCAGTGTACTCTGAGGTCATGACAATCTTTGAATTTAAAGTTCATTTCTTGTATGCAGCAGAAAGATGGATCATGTTTTCATATGCATGCTGTTGGCCTGTGTCTTTTTATTAGTTACTAATTCCTCTGCTTTTGAAAATGAACTGATAAATTATTTCTCTAATTTGTCTGAAATAATTGAATCTACTTAACTTCATATTACATAATTTACCTTTAAGTGATTTTAATTATTAATGTTTTATTTATTTTATTGCAATAGATATCTGTCATCTTTACATCAGTTTATTGTAAATACACAGTAGTAGTACTGCCTTTTCAGACAAGGAAAACAGTAATGTAAACAAATTAAAGACTATAGGAGGCATGAAATATCACATTATTTCCTCATGAAAGGATATTCAAATTCACAGACATTGTTGAGTTATACACACAAACACATGCACACAAACAAATACACATATTCACTCAACCATTAAGAAAATGGTCAGTAATTTAAAGACAAAAAAGAGGGGCTAGAAGAAAGTTTTGTATGGAGGAAAAGGAAGGGATAATTATTTATTTCTATTATAAAATATGAAAGCTGTATTTTAAAAGTGGCAACTGTTTATTTTATAATCTCAAGTTTATTTTTATTTTTAGTAAGTTTCATCCAAATAAAATTGTTTTCTTCATTTGTGCTTAGTTATTAATTATTCACATCAAATTCCTTTTGCTTTTGCTAGAGTTCCATGTTGTAAGCCAACCCTGCATTTGTAGTGTGAAACCCTTTGAAATATATTTTACCTAAATATTATTTCTGTACTGAATTTTCATTAAATTAAGGAAGGAAAACAGATCAAATTTGAGTGACAGTTACTAAGGATCCCCTTCAATGTTTTTCTAGATTATTTATGTGACACACTTTTATCGAATGAATAACATATGAATTAAAAATCCATGTACTTCATTCACATATGTATAAATGCATAGCAATACATATACACATATATAAAGACATAATACAAATGCATATGTACACATAAAATATTTCATTTGAATGATAAAGACTACATTTATGCAAGTCACATGTTTTATCTAACATATTTATTCATTATATTATCAGTCTCTCTTCTTCATTCTACCACTCCAGTGTACTTCTTCATCCAAAACTGTGTTTCTTCTTCTTTAACATAAACATGCATACATAAACATGAACACATTTATAAATACATTCTTTTGGGTCTATTCAGATTACCTGCATGTATAAATTATTGGTTTGACTACTTGATAATTGATAATTGATAACAAACCAGGTATATCATTCCTTGGGAAGATTAAATCTCCCTATATTAATGTTTAATGCTGTAGTTCTTCATCTAGAAATGTGCTCCAGACAACTAGAGAATGTTATTAAGGTATCAACTTTTTTTAAGTTGCTCAGGATGTAGGTAGCAGCATTGTTGAATTTTTTACAGTAGCTTTGTTGTTATATCTGGAATATACTATCAAACATCATAATTCCATTTCCTGAGGCTCATACAGGGTGTTTGCTCACTCTTCTGGGATATGACTTGATAGATAGGTGAAAGATTGTGTTGTAGAAAATGTAGGAGGTCAGAAACCCAAAATTGAAATTGTTTATTTGGTAATTCTGCATGCAACCTTCTTGTTAACACTTTCTTTTTGAAATTATTTGTTTTAATTTTAAGATTATAATTATATCATTTTTCTCTCTCTCTTTTTTTCCCCCTGCGAACACTCTTATATACCCTTTCTAGCCATTTAAATGTAAAGGCAGCAATTAAATATTTGTTCCTATCAACGACCAAATGCCAATTAGCTTATATTTGACTACCGAGAAAACTTTATTCTCTCAAACAGATGATTATTTCCATTAAGAGATGTATTATTGTTTTCTTAGTAAATTTGCCAATTATAGATGATACAGTCTATCATTAACTAGAGGATAATGTAGAAACATTCCAAATTTTACAAAATTAAAATGCAGAATTATATAGAATAATATCATAACCTTTTATTTCTAGACTTATAGCTTTGTAGGTTCTTATTTGGAAAATAAGAGATAAACTTACCAAATTTTTAGGGAATCAGCATATATTAGAACCTTTATTAAACATGTATGTATATATGCACACACATTACTGGTTCTGTGGAAAGACAGAACTTATTTGAAACACAATAGAATTTAGAGTTGCCTAAGTATAAAGGTATGATCACACACAACACCAGGGACAGGGAGAAGGTTCCTAGATTTTCAGTCCCTGTGCCCAGCTCCAGTTTCATTGAGTGGCCATGTTTCTTTTTCTTTCTTTTTCTTTTTCAGTTTAAATTTAGATTAGAAACCAGGTTGCTTCACAAGTCAGTTCCAAGTCCCTCTCCCTTTCCCTTCCCTCCTCCCATGGCCTCCCCCCCAGCCCCCCAATATCCCCTCATTTCCCCAGGGAGGGTGAGGCCCTCCATTGGGGTGTCCATAGTCTGTCATTTCATCCAGGGCAGGGCCTAGACCCTCCCTCAAGAGTTCAAGGTGAGAGTGCATCTCACATTGTTGGATGGGAGTTCAAAGTCCATGTGCATACTCGGGATGAGTACTGATCTACTGCCCAAGGCTCAATAGATTACCTGGGCCTCCTCACTGATACCCACATTCAGGGGGTCTTGATCAGTCCCATGCTGGATTACCAGGATGATGGCTGGGATACAAGAGCCATGTTTCAAATAAGAACATGCATAGAAAACAGGTCACTAGATTTCCAACTGTCATAGACAAACAAGCATATTAATGTAAAAATATCTGAATATATGTATGTACATAACATTCACCTAGGGATGCATACAATGATGATTAAAATTTCATGGTAGTTAATAAATCACCAGAAATCAAATTCCTTATTAATCTATTATGACAGAGGTATTCTGCACATTTACATCACATAGTTTTTCATTACTTTTCAAAGGAGTTTAATTAAATTGTGCACAGTTAACAATGTTGTGCGATGCATAAGACAACTATATTAAGTTTTCAATTTAGTACAAAGTAGGTAATTTATCAAGTACTTAGGTTTTGGTTATAAGTAATATTTTGATAATTTTTGCTGTGGTTGTTTGTATATTTTTTGATGATCAGGGGATAATTCTCTGGCAAAATTAAGGGTTCTGAATGCAAGTCATTCCATTTCATTTTCCCTCATTATTTGTATACTTTTGGGTTCAATATGTCTAAGCATGTCAAATATATAAAATTTCTTGTTATCAAATTAGCTGGGCATGGATGGCTTTGATGAGAGTTTAGGAAAGCAAATATATATGGATTAGGTCTAGAAACCAGGAATGGGAATCTTTTCAAAGGACATAGAGATGATTAAAGAGGAAATACAATAATTAAAAATTGCAGTGCCAAATGGTAAGTTAAAGTCCCTTCCTACGCAGTGCACTGCACACAAATTATATTAATAGTTTGTGAGATTTTGTTTAAATTATTATGATTTTAAAAATCTTGTAAAGCTAAGTTTTCATATTCTGATCATATGAGATATTTAATATTTAGAAGAGGTGAAGGAAACATTTTTCATACATTATTTTATCCCATATATTTTATTAGGTAAGTATATGCATGATCAAATATATTAATAAAATTATCATCTAGAATATTCTGTTTGTTCAAAGAGGTTAAAAACAATATACCAAGGTGAAATAGATGCAAAACAATAAGTCATAGTTACAGTTTATATTTTCAGAAGTTTAAATATATGAAGTTTATCACTACATAGATACTGACTTTTATGAAATTGACTTTTGGGAAAAAATTCATCAAGAGACTTGAGAAGTTTACTTGGCTTTGTGTTCTTTTCATTCTTATTCATGAAGAATACCAAATTTTCACAAATATAAATTTTTCCTTCGATTCATGGGTGGAACTTTTACATTTAAAGAGATACAAGAAAAAGGTTCAGTATTTAAATAGAATTATTTGAAATCTTTTAATGTTTTAATAGATATACAAATAATTATGTACCTATGTTGAATTTTAATAGTAATGCTTGCCTTATATATCTGCTTTATTTTATTTTTATCATCCAATTGAAGTGAACATTTACAAAGATCAATCTACCTTTCTTCAATGTTTATGCATTCTAGATAATCTCATTAACATTTACAAATATTTTCCATTGTTACTTGTTTGTTTTATCTACAAACTGCTTTGTTAGTTTTGTTGTTTTTCTTCAAGGAATTCTGGTGACTATGCATCTTGGAATGATCATAAATAATATGTGTCGATGAATGACTGGACAGTTTCATTTCAAATTGATAAGCTAATAATTTTCAGACATTGTGGGAATAAGACTTATTTTTATACCTTTATTTTCTTATTTTACATTAATTACCATAGTTGTCACTTGAAAAATAAAGGATGGAATTATTTTTTTCTTCATTATCACCATTTCACTTTATTAAACTAAATTTATTTATTGAGTAAGAACCACAACTGAATTTACTGATATTATACCTTTTCTCTTTAGGAACATTTGTTATCAAGGTGACAGCTAATGATGCTGATGACCCTGCAACTGGCTATCACACTAGAATCCTGTACAATTTAGAACAAGGCCAACCATATTTTTCTGTTGAACCAACAACAGGTATTTGTGAATTTAAAAATCATGCATTCCTTTATGTTTCCCAAGAGGGAAAATATGAGCTCAAGTCATCTGGATACATACCTGTTCTACAATAGATGTCATATTTCACCATTAGTTGTGAAGTGATTCTTTAATGTCTATTTTCACTTAAACTTTAAACAGTGTTTCTATGATTCAGAAATTGGATCTTACATGTCATTTCACAGAATAGTTATATGTGTGATATAAAGAATATGTAATGATTCTTATAAATCTATCAGAGAATTAAAGAACAAAGCAACTTAAAAATATGGGGAGAAGACATTATATGAAATTGAGCAGATGTCATTTACCAAAAGCCTAACGGCATCTTAAAAGCTCCCAACTAGCAGAAACATAAGGAAACTGAAGCCCCCCCTCTGAAAAAAATACATGAAGATCCATTTACTTTCCTAACTAGATGTCTATTATTCACTGTAAAATATTATGTATGTGGTATCCTGTGGTAATGAAGTCCCTTAAAACACTGATATGAATGTTGTACATTTTTATCTTTGAGGAAGGGTCATTATACACTTTTTAAACAAGAAAAAATTATCATTGCAGTTCTAGTTTGCATTAGTCATTTGAATACCCTTGAAGACAAGGGGAATCCACATGTATCTTTTTTTAAAAGAATATTTAAAAATAAGTAGTATTGGGATTGAAGCAAGAATCTTATCTTAAACATACAGAACAGAAACTCTACTATCAACTATAAACTATAAACGTTGACTACTTAATATTTATATGACGTTTCTTATTCAGTGAGTTTTAAATATTATGCCAATATGCAAAGCAAACACCTTATCCGTCTTCCTCTTGAGAAATTATAGGCCTTAATGATTCAACATACTAGCATAAGGAATCAAATGAACAATCTTCTTGTTGTTACTAAAATAAAAAGACTAAAATTTTAAAAAATATAACATATTTTGTTAAACATTTAAATATTTACTTTTTATGTATTCACTTAGGAGATGTGCATGTCACATTTTGTACAGGTCTCTGAAATATTTTTCATATATTTTGTTATTCAGAACATGCAAGAGAGATGTTGATTCATTTATTGCAGTGCATTTGTTAGACATTATTCTTTTGATTATAATTTCTAATAATACATTTTGATCATGTTTCCCCTTTCTCATCCACTTCTAGATACTCCCCACCTCATTACTACTCAACTTCTCTCTCTCTCTCTCTCTCTCTCTCTCTCTCTCTCTCTCTCTCTCTCTCTCTCTCTCTCTCCCTCTCTCTCTCTCTGTATGTTTCTGTCTCTCTCTCATAACAAATAAGTAACTTCAGGTACAGTCTATGCAGTCAGAAGAATGGGTAAGTGGAACACCTTTCCCCTAGAACTCTCTCTCATCTGAGGTTAATATTCCAAAGACCCAATGACAATCTTACTGCCAAGTGGGCCTCTGAAGCTATTCTCTGCCCCCATTTCTGGTAGATAATCACTGATAAACTGCAGTTCACAAATGTCATAAAAATATGGGCAGTCCATACGACTCAGAAGAACTTAGACAATACTAGTAAGAGGCACTAGCAGGGTGCAGGCCATAGTTATCTAAAGAAAAGGTGTAGGCCATGCAAATCTGAAAAACAGAGCACATCAACTAGAGGAACAAAAAGATGAATTCAGGCAGAGACTCAATGTTGGATCAGAGATCACACTGACCTTCAAAATTCCAGATAGGAAACATACCCATGAATACCCTGCACACTCTCATTGCCCTACAACACTAGCACCAATCCCTACAAAACTCCATATTACCACTTCCCGCCCCCAATGCCAGCTGAGACACACTGTGGGAACAAAGGCCAACCTAACATGCAGAAGTCCAGCCCCAAACTCTGATAGAGACACCCTGCCCAAGTAGAGTTCAAAATTGCTGGCAGAAATCTGGGTCCCAAATACCAGAAGACAAAAGAGGAAAAAAATGGAAAAACACAAATCCAAGAAAGAAAAATTCAGAAATAAGCAATTAAATGTGTAATCACCGCAAACACAGGAGCCATGATATCAGTGGAAGAAGAAAATAATTAACAGACAGAATAATATGTCACAAGAGGTCAACAATCCTACTACAGCCAGCCTTAATATACCAACACAGATGAACCACAAGATATAGTTCTTAAAAACAATGTTATGAAGATTACAGAGGTCCTTAAAAAAGAAAGGAATAAATCTCAGAGAGAAATCCAGGAAAGCACAAACATTTGGAGAAAATGAATGCACCCCTCAAAGAAAGCCAAGAAAACACACACTTAAATGAATAGACTTGTTCAAAACCTGAAAATGGAAACACAAGAAGAAAAGAAACACTGGGAGAACTCAGGAAGTGGAGAATTTAGGTAAGTTAACAGGAACTTCTGAGGCAAGGATCACAACAAAACACAAGAGATTAAATGGAGAAACACAGGCAATAGGGATACGATAGAAAAGGTAGATATATCTTTAAAAAAACTGTTAAATCTAAGAAATTCCTGACAAAAAATATCTAGGCAATTCTGTGATACTGTAAAAGACCAAACCTAAGAAAAATGGGAATAGAAGAAAAGTCCAAGCTCACATGCCCAGAAAGTATTCTTAACAAGATCATAGAAGAATATATTCCTATTCTAAAAAGGACATGTCTATAAAGATACAAGAAGCTTACAGAAAACAAGGAGATTGGATCAGAAAAGAAAGCCCACATGTCACATAAAAAAGAACATTTAAATTTGCAAGAAAATAAACAAGAAAATTCATAGGATGGCCTTTTAGATTTAAACTCAACTTCTCAGTTTTCAATCTAAAATCCAAAAGGGCTTGGACAGATATCTTGAAGACTATAAGACACCACAGAAGTGAACCCATACTACTTTACCTGGCAAAATGTTCAATCACCATAGAATGAGAAAACAAGTTATCCAATGACAATATGAACTTTAAACAATATCTGTCTACAAATTTAGCTCTACAGAAATTACTAAAAGAAAAACTCCAACCCAAGGAGTGTAACAGCAACCATGGAAACACAGGAAATGAATAATTTCACACCAGCTTAATCTAAAGCAGGGAAACACACACACAAACACACACACACACACACACACACACACAGTCACCACCAAGAACAACAAAAATAAATGTAATTAAGATTGCCTTGTCATTGATAATCCTCAATATAAATGGACTCAATTCACCAATAAAAGAAAAAGGTTGTTAACATATTTGATACAAAAACAGGATCTATTATTCTGTTCCTTACAAGGTATACCCCTCAACATCAAAGACATAAATTAATCTCAAAATGAATGTTTGGAAAAAATCTCCAAGCAAATTTACCAAAGAAACAAGCTGTGTCAGTTGTTCTAAAAATAGACTTAAAACAATAACTAAATGATATCAGGAGAGACACTTCATATTCATCTAAGTAAATAATCCCAAAAGATGATGTCTCACTTGTTCACATGTATGACCCAAATGCAAATGCAATCACATTTTAAAAGATATTCACTGAAGTTAAAATCACCCATCAAACTTTATTCACTAGTATTGGGGGTCTTCAATAACTCAATTTCAGAAGTGGAAAGGAAACCTGAACAAAAAATGAAGAAAGAAATAGTGGAACTATCATATATCATTAACCAAATGCACCTAACAACTATTTAAAGACCATTTCACACAAACACAAAAGAATATAGCAACTCATGAAACTGTTTTCAAAGTTGACCATATTCTCAATCACATAAGCAAGTCTCAACTGATTCAAGATATTTGAAATAACCATCACATCCTATCATACTGCCATGAATTAAAGTTGAATAGCAATGCAAAAGAAGAGCCTGCAAACTAATGGAAAATAAAGAACTGTTTCATTAATGACCACGGAATAGAGGGAGAAACAAAGAAGACAAATAGAAAATACCTAGAATTCACTGAAAATACAACATATCTAAACTTATGAGAACCAATAAAAACTGGGTTAACAAGCAAGTTCATAGCACTAATTGCTTACATAAATAAAATGAAATGGTCTCAGATTAAAAACTTAACAGCACACCTGAAACCTGTAGAACAAAAGAAGCAAACATACCCCAGAGGAATAGTAGGTCCTACTAGATGTTGGTGTGTGGAAGATTGAAAATAGATTCACTTCTTTCATCATGCACAAAATTCAACTCCAAGCTGATCAAAGACCTATACATAAAACCAAATTCATTGAACGTGATAAAAAACAAAATGGAGACTAGCATTGACACTGAAAACTTCCAGAACAGAGCATCAACAGTGTAAACAGTAAAATAAATAATTACTAAATGGGATCTCATGAAACTGAAAAACTTCTCTAAAGCAAAGGGCTCCATTAATATTACAAAATGGTACCCCTAAGAAGAAGAAAACACCTTATACAAACCCACTTGTGACAAAGGGAAACGTTCCAAAATTTGTAAATAACTCGAGAAACTAGACATCAAAACACAAAATAAGCACATTAAAAATGGGTGTACAGATATAGACAGATTTTTCAGTGCAGGATTTGAGAATGTGGACATTCATCCATTGCTGGTGGGAATGCCAACTTGTGTAGTCATTTTGGAAATCGATGTGGTGGTTTCTCAGGAAGATGGAAATTGACCTACCTCAAGACCCAGCTATATAACTCTTGGGAATATACCTAAAGTATGTTATATTCTACTGTCAGGACACTTTCTCAACTATGTTCATCACAGCTTTATTCGTAATAGCCGTAAAATGGAACAAACCAGATGATACTTAAGTGAATAATATATAAAAATGTGTACATTTACACTGTGACATAGTGGATTATTACTCAGCTGTGGTGATAAACTGTTTACAATTTAATAAAGTCACAGGAGATCAGAATGCAAAGCATAACATACTAGTTAGCTATAGAACCTGGATAATGGTGGTACATACCTGTAACGCCGGGACTCAGGAGACAGAGGCACATGGATCTCTGTGTGTCAAAGACCACCCTGGTCTCCATGAGTGTGATCAATCTAAAAGAGCTCATGCCTTTAATTATAGCACTAGAAAATTATATAAGGAATAAACAAAGGTTTTTCGGGAGAGATTTAGTTTCCAGTCACAGGAAAGACAAGAACTCTATTTCAGTTTGGTAGAGATAAGAGCTAGTGGCTACCATCTATGCTTTTCTTATCTTCAGATTGAACCTCAATATCTGTCTCTGGGTTTCATGCTACATTCAGCTCAAAAATGATACATTGTAATTTCCAGCGAAACTAATGGAACTAAGAAAAAATTCATCCTGAATGAGGTAACCAAGGTCCAGAAAGACAAGCATGGTGTCTACTCACAAACAGGTGGACACTAGCTATAAAGTAAAGGATAATGCTGCTACAAGCCACAGACTACAGTGGAAAAGCATGAAACAGAAATCAAAAGGGGATACATTATCTTCCTATTAAGTTGAAATAGAATAGATTTCTTTGGTGGACTAGTGGAATATGAGGAAATCAGGTGTGGGGGTGTCGAGGGAGAGAATACTGGGAGAAATAACTGGAATTAGGGGACACTTCAGGCATGATGCAGAAACTGAGTGCAAGCTAAACTCCCTGGAAACTCAGAGAGAGGTACTAGGGAAAATTCATATTAATGAGGAATATAAAACATGAACTGGCCATCTTCTATAACTAGGAAGGTCTTTCAGAGGAGGAACAAGGGCAGCAACCCTGCCACAAAAACTTTTACTCAAAATCTGTCCTTCAGGCAAAATACTTTTGTGGCAGTGACTAAATAATGACTGATACAACTTGAGACTCTGTCTCTGATTCAGCATAGAACTTAAACCTTGAGGACCGAGGGTTGATGAAGATATCATTTTTGGGACTAAGTACTCCAATGTCTCTTACTCTCTGGACATTGTTATTTTGTGGATCTCTTTTTTATTTCCCATGCACTTCCAGAAGAAATTTACCTATAGATATAGCAATATGTCATGAGGAGTATTTTTATTGCTATTTTTCTATATGCAAATAACATCAGTAACTTTTCTTCTAGACCATGACCCATCTATTCTCAGTTTCTTACTTTTTTAGCAACTCTAGGTATGTGCTCTATCTCATGCAGTGACTCTCATATATAATTTTATAAAATGTTATTCCCATAACATTTGTAGTGCAATTGAACTATTATATCCTTCAGTGAATTTGATATTGTAGGACACAAACTTTTAGCTGAGTAATATTGATGATTAACTCTATCATATAGTGTCATATGTGTTACCTGCTAGCACCATGTATACCAGTCAGTAGATGTGAAGTTTCTGATAAGGCAATAACTTTATTTTTCTGTTCTTGATTACATGTTAGTGTTGTCTTCAGTAAAATGACCATAAAGTGGTTGTAGAAAGAAAGACATTTCCTTTCAAAAGACAGAGATATGTGGTATTTCCTGCTTCTGCGGAACTTCTTTGGCCAGTGACCCAAAAGGATTTAACCTACTATATATTCTACTTGGTTCATTGTCCCTACTATCATATGATGCCTTTATTTAGATTCCTTTGATATATGTACATGTTTTAGGAAGCTTCCGACATGGAAAGCTTCCACTTCACAATCAAATGACTCTACTGATATTTATAACTTCCCATATTGCATCCTTTATCCTCTTCTTTACATTAGTTGTTTACGAGGTATCTAACATCTGTAGGTATTTGGATTTTAGTGTTCGCATTGAAAGATTTCAAGCCAATATCCACATGCATTAGAAAACAAATGATATTTATCTTTTGAGGTATGGATTACTTCACCTTGGGTAATATTTTTCTACCTCTACCCATTATCTATAGCTTTTATAGTTTTTTTCTAAATAGCTAAAAATCATTCCATTTTGTAAATGTACCACATGTGCATTATCCATTCATTAATCAATGACAGGTATTCCTAATTATTGTGAATATAGCAGCAATGAACATGGATAAGTAAGTATCTGTGTTGCAGGTGTTTTTTGTCAGGTTAACATGTTCAAGAATAGTGTAAATTGATTGACTCCCATTTCCTGAGGAACCTGCACACTGAATTCAACATGGATGTACCAGTTCGTACTCCCACCAACAATAGATAATCTTTCCCCTTTCCCTGAATGTTTTCCTTCCTGAGTTAACATTTGTTTCATTAATATTAAAACATGAAGATTTAATACCTACATAAATCTTTTTGAAAAGCTGACTTTGTGCGAGACATTATTCCACATAGAGTAAATTTCAAGGTTTCACACTGTGATGTTTAAAATAGAAAAAAAAGAAAGAAATCATAAACATGGGTTTTTTGTCATAGAACTTGCAGATGCTTAATAAACATATGGATGTCAGAGATATGCTAAATTGAATATAAAGGATGAAATTAGAAAATCGGAATGAATGTAATTTAAACTTTCTTGTAAAGGAAATTTTGGTTAAAGCATAATAGGATAAGTAATGGGTAAGGAAATAACAGAGAAGTCTTACCTTCTAAGTTATAAAAGACACTTCCTGAATTGGGAAAAACTAAGGCTCCTGAATCACTAGGCTAACGCCTGTTGTACTATTGTAATAAGAATATAAAATTACACATTAGTGATCTGTTAGGAACAATGAAAAACATTTCTGTTTAATTTTACTATTCTTACACTTACCTTTGTTAGTGACTAGTGTACAAGGGAATGAGGGTTACATCACAGTATGCTTAAGAAGCCAAAACCAGCAGAGATAGCTGATCTGAACAGGGGAGAGCTCTTGGACCCCAGACTGACAGTGGGGAGGCCAGCATGGGACTGATCTGGACCCCCCCAAATGTGACTGTCAGCGAGAAGGCCTGGGCAACCTTTGGGGCCCTGAGCTGTGGATCAGTGTCTATCCCTGGTATACAAACAGTCTTCGTGTGCCTATAGCAAAAAGAGGGATGCTCTCTCAGCCTGGACTCTTAGGGGACTGCCTGGACCCTACCCAGAGTAAAATGACGGACTCTAGATATCCCCTATGTGGAAGGATTTGGCAATAGGGTGGGAGGGTGGGGGGAAGGGGAGTGCGGGAGGAGGGGAGGGAGAGGGAATTGGGATTGACATGTAAAACAAGCTATTTAAAAAAAAAAAGAAGCCAGTTAACAAGGGATCATGGGTAATAATAATAACTCAATTTGTATTACTTTTAATAGGAGTCATAAGAGTATCTTCTAAATTGGATAGAGAGTTACAAGACACGTATTGCATCATTATTCAAGCCAGAGACATGCTTGGTCAACCTGGAGCCTTGTCTGGAACAGCGATGGTATTAATTACACTGTCTGATATTAATGACAACAAGCCAATATTCAAAGAAAGTGAGTAGAAACTGTCTTGGAATTTGATGTACTTTATATCATTTCAATATGCACAGATATTAAATTGTTCACTAAACACAGACCATTGCATCAGTATAAAAGTGACTTAAAATGAATATGATAATTTTATCCATTTGAGTTATTCTAATTAGTTTTAAAAATATGAAATAGAAAAGGAGCAATATATCTAAATTCTGCTGTAGTCACCAGTTAACAAAAACTGACCACTGATCTATAATCTTTGTAAAGTTTGCTATGGGTCTCATTGTGTTATAATCAAAAAACCCGGGACATTTCCTATAAATATTGGGAATAATCCCTTTCCTTGTTCATTAGATTGTTGGCACTATTCAGTTGTCTGTGTAGCTAGAACTAGAATCAGGTTATTTGATGCCTGTGTGTTGGAGGACAATCTTAATACAAAAGTTGCCTACTAATTCTTGACTGACCATACATCTCAGAAGCATCTAGTGAAGTAAATATTTTTCAAAATGACATATTTATGCATAAAAATTTTGCCTCTACTTCTACATCAATGGGTTCACATGCTCAGATTGGGGCACTAAGTGAGACAAGGTAAATTCTCGGTGTCAATTTAACTTACTAGCAATTTAGTTCTATCTGAAACCTGATATTTTTGGCTATTTCAAGAAACATATTTTTTGAATCGTAGGAAATTGAGATGAATTCCTTTTTGGAATTAGTTCTCTGAACATCCAAATAATAATTTAACTTGAAATTTTAGTTTATATTCTTTAGCGAGAGAAGGTGACATTTGATCTGCTTGTTTATTCTATATTTTAAATCATGTGAAATTTCATTATTTCCCTTTTCTAAAGAAGACCCTCTTTGGAACAAAAAACACACATTTACAAACATTTTTAAAAGCATGGACAATTTTCAACTGTCATAATATGCCATTTAATAAGCACAAAAAATGAAGAGAATAGTAGATATATTGTTCAGCTATGGAATAATTTTCTGGGTATTGATTATAAATTCACAGAAATGAAATCATCATTTCATTTGGCTTTCAATTTTTGTATTTTAAAGTTTTTGTTAATACCATTTTGTCATTTTTGTCTTTCATTTGTGAGCTTCTTCTGTTTTTTTTAATTTTTTGATACCTGGTATCAATTTGTATTTCACAATATTTTGAACACATAGCTACTCTTCTGCCTCAATTTTTCCTGTAAGGCAAATACATCATGAGGTATATTACTTGGGAAAACTATCTTTTGACTGCCTTCTATTTCAATCCTCACCATCCACATTCCCCCAAATGTTACTTTTTACATTTCTTCCTCTATAATAGCATCTTCATTGATATGAATGGCACTGTAGGTAGTTCTTTACTGTTCTTTACTGATTACAATCAGCATTTGTTCACATACTGAACTTTGAACCTTCCCAGCTTTCATTGTTTCATTAGGATGGTAGTTTCCTGTGGATTTCAATATATAAAGTTACCAGTTATAAAGACTTGACATAATTCTATTCAGACAATACTTGCCAATATCATAAATAGTATGTCTTCTTGACTAACAGAAGGTTATGAACTACATAATGTCTTTGAGTCAGCAATTAAAAACTCATACACAGTATACCTAACAGTGGTGCTAAAGTATTAGACTATATCGAAACATCTTCCTTTGTATATATTACACACTTTTATGATGTCAAATATTTTTTTGTTAATTTCATGCTGTAGTATTGTGCTATCCTTCAAATTTTTTATCTAGGATATTTTTCCACCTCAATTAATATCAATTCAAGTTTTCTATTTCCCATAGAAAAATTTTATGTTTCAATTCACATATTCACATGTAACAGTATACCAAAAATTAATGATTTACTTCACACTAAGCTGTGAAAACCCATTTCCAATCTAATCTTTTTGTTTGAATTGATGAATGTTACATTAAATTTCTTGTTTTTCATAGTCTGTGAGCAAATCAGAATCCATATACACACAAATGCAACCACATTGCACAATATTACACACTCTCACACACAAAAAGTACATGGAAACACACAAACCGACAGAAGTTTACACACACATACACACACACACACACACAGACACATACACAAACTTTGAGATAAATACCACAAACTCACCCACCTGCTCTAATACATGTACACATTTCTTTTTCATTACAAAATGGGAAATAATTTTCTTAAAGATCTTCAACCATTTGTTTTCAGCTTCTATTACTTATTCTAAAACCTGACTAATCTAAGAAATCTCATTCTCTCTTTAAAGTACTTAAGTGCTTCCCAGTACATCACTTCTCTCCTTGTTTCATGTCAATACCTTTATTTCCCCTCTCATCAAAATGGGTTCTCATCTAATTTTTCTGCATATGTCTTTGATCTATATTTTCCTACTCAACACAACTTTGGTGAAATTGCCAGATGAACAGCAGATATTCTCACCATAGTGTTTTATCTCACCCATGGAAAACAGGGAACTCCTTGGTATAAACTAAATTTTACCTCTTCTCTGATCTTAGAACAGTCAAAACTTTGCCTTTCAGTTCCCCATAGAATTTTATTTCCACAGATATCACTTGCTTCAGGTAATAGAAAATCTTTTTGTTGGAGAGTGAGGATGCAGGCCTTTAATCTCACCACTCATGATGTAGAGGCAGGTGGGTCTCCATGAGTTCAAGGTCAGCCTAGTCTACAAAGTGAGTTCAAGTATAGCTAGGGATGTTACACAGAGAACGCTTGTCTCAAAAAACAAAAACATAAACAAAATCTTGTCTACTCTGGATGCATCCTACATTAGCAAAAATGTAAAATAATCTCACTATAGTAACATCTTAGAACTTATGTATAATGGCTTTTACCAGTATTGCTTTTAAGCCCATAAACTATGGGAAGCGTTTTTTTAATTTAATTTCAATTAGAAACAAGTTTGCTCCACATGTCAATCCCAGCTCCCTCTAACTCCTCTCCTATCCTGACCCCTTCAGCCCTCCCCCTACTGCTCCCCCAATCCCAACTCCACTCTCCAAGCAGGGTGGGGCCCTTCATAGGGGAATCTCAAAAGTCTGTCATATGATCTGGGGCAGGATCTCTGCCCACGCCTTTGTGTCCAGGTGAAGAGAGTATCCCTTCACATGGAATGGGCTCCCAAAGTCCATCTGGATGACAAGCTAAATGCTGATCTATTGTCCAAGGACCCAAAAAATGCTGAGGCCTCCTCACTGACACCCATGTTCTGGGGGTCTGGATCAATCCCATGCTGGCCTCTCCGTTATCAGTCTAGGGTCTATGAGCTCCCCTTTGTTCAGGTGAGCTGTTTCTGTGGGTTTCAACTGCCAAGTATTAAAGCCTTTGCTCATCACTCCTCCTTCTCTGCAACTGGGTTCTAGTAGTTCAGTTCAGGGAAACATTTTTATTCACTCATATTATTGCAAGATTTGAGAAGACCACTTTGTAAGGAATCTATGTTTCAATAAGCCTTTTCATAATATAATGTAAACTACACAGATAAATCGTGGGTAGAAGGGAATAAGTTTAATTTTTCTATTTTGAAAAAATAATAGTTTAATGTAAACTATTTAATATTTAAACCCAAAGAACATCCTTTCATATTTTTATTTTTTAGGATTTATTTTTATTAGGTATGTGTGTCTAAATATGCCTTATGGATGTATGGCAGAAGAAACCACTGTAACTACTGGAAGTTTGAATGTTGATATTGTTGATCACTCTGTTACAGGTGCTGGAAACTGAATTTGTATATTCTGAGGGAGCAGTCAGAGCTATTAACCACTGATGTATTTTTCACTCCCCATGAACTTCATGTTAAATGCATGATAGGAAGTCATTATTTTAATTTCTGAAGTCACATTTTTTAATGAAAGAAGTTCCAGTACATAAATCATTATTTTTATTTTAAAAATGAAGTGGTAGAATATCAGACATATTTAACTAGCATTGTTTTATGTTTAAAGCAATACAGAACTTCAAAGAAAACTCTGTGAAGTTATTTGAAGAAAGTCATAAAAGAACTCTTTTAATAATTCCATTATGTATAATTCTTCTCACTTATTACCATTATGAGAATACTGACATAACAGAACATTCCTATCTCTCAGCTCATTTCATAAATAATACTGTAATAATGGTATCTTTCTTTATTATATTTAGTCTTATTTCTCAAAATAAAGAAAAATATTCCTGCATTCTATCACTACAACATATTGTTTTAAGTTATGTCTTCGATTTCTTTCATTACCAAATCAATGAGATTATCTTCATCACCAATACTGCTGAATTATTACTACATTTACTTTCCAACGCCTTTGGGTTGAACTTTCCATTTTTAATATGGTTAATGCAATTTGAGATCAAATCTTCAGAATTATTTTATTATACCTAAAGCTCAATAATTTTTGCTCATTCTAAACTTTTTTTAAAATTTAAATTAAAAGCATTCTCCCTTCCTCTCCCTCGTGACCTCACAGTTCCTTATCATCTGTCATGCCCACCCTATAGGCACTCCTCAGAGAGGGTATGGCCTCCCATGAGATGATCTTCAAAGTTTGTCCTATTATTTGGGACAGCACCAAGGGTCATCCCCCCACTTGCATCTAGGCTGAGAAAGTATCCCTCCCTTGGGAACGGTGCTTGAAAAAGCCAGTTAATGCACTAGAGATAAATACACGTTCCACTGTCAGAGGCTCCATAGACAGACAACCCCTACAACTGACACCCACATTCAGGAGAGCTACTTTGCTCTTATGCTGGTATCCCAGCTTTCAGTCTAGAGTACTTAACCTCTGAATTTCTGTGGGTTTCCCCAACTTGTTGTTGACCCCTTTGCTCATGAATCCTCCCTCTATACAATTGGACTTCAGGAATTTGACTCAGTGCTTAACAATGCGCCTCTGTTTCTCCTTTCATCGCTACGTGATGAACGTTCTGTGATGATATTTTACGTATTTATCAACCTCATTATAGGGGAAGGGCTCTTAAGGTAGCTTCTTTACCATTGCTTAGATTCTTATTTGGTCTGTCCTTCGGGATTCCTGGGAATTTCCCTTGTGCCAGTTTCTCATTAACCCCAAAATGGCTCCCTCTCTCAAGGAATCTCTTTCCTTGCTCTCCTTCTCTGTCCTTGATCCCACTTGTTCTCCTCCCCCTTCCACTTCTCCCCTCATCTTTCTCCTAACCCCCTCTCACCTCATGCCATGCTCTCAAATTACTCAGGAGTTCTTCTTGCTTTTCCCTTCTTGGAGGGTTAATGTATGTCTCTCTTAGGGTCCTCCTTCTTTCCCAGCTTATCTGGGTTTGTGACTGGTTATCCTTTGCACTATGTCTAATATCCACTTATGATTGAGTACATACCATGTTTGTCATTTTGTCCTGGGTTACCTCAGGCAGGATAGTTCCTTCTATTTCCATCCATTTTCCTCCATAATTCAAGATGTCATTGTCTATTATTGCGAAGTAATACTTCATTGTTCCCATATACCATATTTTCTTCATGTGTTCATAAGTTGAGGGGCATCTAGCTTGCTTCCAGTTTCTGGCTATCACAAATAATGTTACTATGAACATAGTTGAACAGAGGTCCATTTGGTCTCAGTGTACATCTTTGGGCACATGCCCAAGAGTGGTATTGGTGGATCTAGAGACTGGTTCCCCTTTTTCTAAGAAACTGCCATATTGATTTCTAAAGTAGCTGTACATGTTTGCATCTCCAATAGGAATGGAGGATTGTTTCCCTTACTCAACATCTTCTCCAGCATAAGGTTTCATTTGTGTTTTTGCTTTTTGCCATTCAGACAGGTGTAAAATATTATCTCATTTCCAATTCCTTAAGTGCCTTTCTGTCATTTGACTGTCCTCTGTTGATAATTCTGTATTTGGATCCCTAAGTTCTAATTGGATTATTTCATGCTTTGGTGTCTAGTTTCTTGAGTTCTTTGTATATTTTGGAGATCGGCCTTCTGTCAGATGTGAGGCTAGTAAATATTTTTTCCCATTCTGTAGGCTAACGACTTTGTCTTGCTGATTATGTCCTTTGCCTTACAGAAACTTCTTGGTTTCAGGCAGTCTCATTATTAATTGTCGATTTCTGTGTCTGTGCTACTGGTATTATGTTCAGGAAGCAGTTTCCTGTGCCAATGCTTTCAAGAGTACTTTCCACATTCTCTTCTAAATGGTTCAGTGTGCTTAGATTTATGTTGATGTCTTTGAATCATTCATAGCAATAGATATAGATATAGATGTCTCTCCAGTTTCATACAGTCAGCATCCAGTTATGTCATCACAATTTGTTGAAGATGCTTTCTTTATTTTGTTATTGTGTAATTTTAGCTTCTTTTGCAAAATCAGGTGTTCATATGTATGTGTATTAATATCATATTTTGATTCCATTGGTCAGTCTGTCTATTTTTGTGCCAATACCAAACTCCTTTCATTATTATAGCTCTATAGTAGAGCTTGAAGTGAGGGATGGTGTTTGCAATCGCCACCAGAACCCCAGCACAACACTCCACAGACCTTAAAAGAAAAATATGGAAAAGGTACATATGGAAAAACAAAACGCCGAGTATAGCCAAAATAATCTTATACAAAAAAAATGAACATCTGGAGGCATCAGCATCCCTGACTACATTTTAAATAAAAAATTATACTTAAAATTTCTTGGAAACATCAGACAACCAAAAAATATTCAATAAAAATTCAAAACCTATTTTAAATAGTTTTAATTACAGGATATAATACAAATAAATTAATAGTATTGAGGAGAAATGCATGAATAGAAATTTGAGTATACATAATAATGTAATGATGCATTTTGGAGAAAATTCTGATAATTGAAGTAGATGTTAAATTTATCCAAATAGTTTGAGGCCAGACTGGACCGACAGCCGCCAAAACAGAGAAACACTGTCTCGTAAAATCAAAAAAAAATTTATCCAAATAAATGAAAAATAATAAACACATATGTACAAGAGAGATAGAAAACAATATTAAAATATAGAACTTGCAGGAAAGGCATGGGTTTTCCTAGAAGCCCAAAGAAATTTTAAAATTGGCAGTTTCATATGATAACAAAACTTATCTTAAATTAATGCAATTGTGTTTGCAAAGGTTTCTACCGCTTCACTGTATCTGAATCTGCACCCAGTGGAACAACTATAGGAAAAATTATGGCATATGATGATGATACAGGAGAGAATGCCGAAATGGACTATAGCATTGAAGAGGATGATTCACAAATATTTGACATAATCACTGATAATGAGACCCAAGAAGGGATAGTTATACTAAAAAAGGTACATATATTTAAATCTTTAAAGATTTGGAGAAAACTAATAAAATTTACATATGTAATTATAAGTAGTTGTTAATTATGTTTTGCTTTGCTAATATTTAACTGAGATGTCATAATATGTAACTGGGAAATACAATTAATTTACAGATGAATAATGGAGATTTTTAAAGTATTTCTAAATTAACTTGTGATCTTTAAAAATTTTAATGAAATCTAATTTGGAATAAATATACCTTTGCCTAATAAGAGAGTAACTTTCCATTTTCTAAATTCTTTATGTCCTTAAATACAGAATTTTATTTAAAAAAAGTTTATAGTACCGGTTATAGTACTGGTTTGAACAAATTTAAATTTTAATACCTGATTAATTTTTATAATGAATGAATTTCCATAAATTAATTTCATGCCTAGATAAAAAGAATGGAAACATGAATAAGTTAATATTTTCTAAGTAAAGATTTGGTTAAGTGAAATTATTTTTTCTGAGCACACTGCATTTATTTGTAGAAAGTTGATTTTGAGCACCAGAACCACTACGGCATTAGAGCTAAAGTTAAAAACCGACATATTGATGAGGAGCTTGCAACAGCCCATGTAAATGCCTCTTCAACCTACATTAAAGTTCAAGTGGAAGATGAGGATGAACCTCCTATTTTCCTCTTACCCTATTATATATTTGGAATTCCTGAAGAAAAGCCACAAGGGTCAATTGTAGGAACAGTATCTGCTATAGACACAGATCGAAGACAATCTCCAGTAAGGTATGTCTTTATATTTACTCACATTATCGTTGTCTTAATAAATGAATGAGCATGCTCACATGAAATATTGCCCATTGAAAATGCAAAACAGGAATTTTGTAACCTAGATACTTATATATTACTTAACAGATTTTGAAAACAGAAATAAACAAGTTTAAATAGCCTGTGTTGTCCAAATGCAAAGAAACACTCAAGGTGAACATGTGAAAAAGCAATCCTCACCTAAAATTTACGACCATACATTGTGTGTGTGTGTGTGTGTGTGTGTGTGTGTGTGTGTATGTATGTATGTATATGTGCCCGTGGGTGTGTTTGATATGTATGTGTGGACATCTGCCCTGCTTTATCATTCTCTGAATTATTCCCATGAGATAGCCTTTAAATGAATATGGTAGTAGGTCAGAAGACTACAGGCATCATAGGTTCTTATTCTTCACCATCTACAGTACTAGGTTGCCAGACTCATGAGATGACAACCCAAGATTTTCACATGGTCATTATTATTTTACAATAATACATGCTTTAACCCACTGAGACATTACCCCCCGTTATCAGATCCAATGAGATGACCAGTGGGGGAAACACTTTCTACAATGGTGAGGATGATTTGATTAAACTCAGGTCCTGGTATATGGATGGCAGAAAGAAAAACTAAGTCATTTGTTCTCTGACCTCGGTGAAATGCTCAAATTTGTATAGGTCTGTTTCCTCAAACACACGCACACATGTATAAATATATACATATGTATATATGTATATACATATATATTTATATATAATATGCATATATTATATATATAATAATAATGTAAATAAATGCATCCCAATGCACAAATATAATAAGCAATGAATAGAGGACAGAAGCACTGCAGGTATCTCAAAGGAGGACTGTGGTGTTGGATTGGAACCTTACCTTCTTAGCACAGTTATATTTTAATATTCCTATGGAAATGCTCCCCAGGTGGTCTCATATATAATAAACCTCATGGACTGTCATTGGAAAATCTTGCTCATTATTTGAAACAAGTATCTGAAAATATTTACAGAAATATGTTTGTTTGGAAATACACCACTAAAAGAACAGAAATCAATTCCACCAGCATGTTAAACATGTCTGATTTTATTGATGTGTTGGTGAAAACACAAGTGGGACACAGTTAAAAATGAATTAGATCTTTCTTCTTTGCCCTCCTCTTCTGCCCTTCTCTTATTTCTAACTCCCTCTCCCTCACACATGCTTCTAATTAGCTTAAAAGATATCATCCCTTTCTCCTTCTCCAGTGGAACATGTATGTCTCTCTTAGGGCCCTCCTCTTTCCTGACTTCTCTGGAGGCGTGGAATGTAGACTGCTACTCCTTTGCTCTAGGTCTAAAATCCATATAGGAGTGAATACATACCAATATATGAGTGAGTACATTGTAAAAGTATGGTGTCAAGGAAGAAAACACAACAGTGAAATACAGTGAGGATTTTTACTCAAGACCATGTAAATAAACATAAGGTCCTGAAAAAGCAGGAATATCTTCTTATATTTGTAGCTTAGGCAAACATATTAGAAAAATAAATATTTTAGGCTTTGAAACAAAACTGGATTTACATATTTTCAGATGACTCTACATGAACATCATCTTGTACCAGTTTTTAAGAGTAAATTCGTTTCAAAATATATATTAATTTATCAGTGAGTGATTTACCAATGATATTTGTCACTTTGGAAGTTATAATAAAAGTAAAAAGAACCCATTGTCTTGCTATTGATTAATTTTATGACTCGTTTCTTACTTTATAAGATGAAGTAATAGCCAAGATTTGTCCCCTATGCATGCAATATCAGGAATTAGTAATTTGAGAGAGGAATATTTCTCTGGGTTTTAAGTTAGCTTTGGAAGCCCTATAAGTTGTAGGCCGGTAGTTCTTAACCATCATAATTCTGTGACTTTTTAATACACTTCCTCATACTGTAGTAACCCCCATCCATAAAATTATTTTCATTGATTCTCTATGACTGTGATTTTCTACTGTTATAAATTTTAGTGTAAGTATCAGATATTCAGGATATGTCATGTATGACATCTATGAAAGAGTGACTGGCCGGGTATTGGTGGCACACGCCTTCGATCCCAGCACTCAGGAAGCAGAGGCAAGCAGATCTCTGAGAGTTCGAGGGCAGCCTGGTCTACAAGAGCTAGTTCCAGGACAGCCTCCAAAACAATACAGAGAAACCCTGTCTCGAAAAACCAAAAAAAAAAAAAGAGTGAGATCTTCTCTAAAAAATTATTATCAGCTACCAAAAAAGGAGATATGCATATTGAAGTTTTCAAGTGTACTCAACGTCAAGAATTATTAGTTATTCTTCTGAATATGGACTGGAAAAGAATTGGCATAGATACATGGAGAAAGGGTTTTCTTGAAGAAAAAAGTAAGAGTCAGAAGTGTGTATCTATTCTAGCTTAGATACAACTCTTAGAAGCCTACTGCTGATTGTTGTTGTTTGTTATTGAATGGTTGAGTTTTTATATTATTTTTGATATTGCAATGCAACTATAATATTTCTCCATTCATATAGAACCCTCTTTCTTCTCTTTAAAATCCACAACCTCATGACCTCCGTTATCACTAATTGTTGTTACATTATTGTTTATTCTTATGTATATATATACATATTCTGTACACATATGCATATATAAATGTTTTCAGGGTTAACCATTTTGTATTTGATACCAATTGGCATGTTTCTCCCTAATGAAAATCATTTGTACCATTCTCAGCATCCTTTACTTGCCTGCACTTTTTCATGTATGTTTAAACCTACTTGAAATTTTCAAATCCATTTTGGCATATTTATTTGTTGTTATTGTTGTTGTTCAACCAGTGTTTCCACAGTTATACGAATGAAATTTCAAATTTTACCTTCTGACATTTCTAGTAAGCACAACATCATAAAAACCTTCCTGATCCTTTGACTCCTGCAATCTTTTTCTCCCTCTTCAGCTATACTTTATGAGCAGCTAGTATCGGAGTGTTTTGTAACAATGTACACTGTGACAGGGCTCCACACAACTCTGTGATTTGGTTGGTTGTGATTTTCTGTAATGGCCATATGTGTTGCAAAGAAAATATTCTTTAATTAGGGGGAGGTACTACCCTTATCTGGTGTTAACACAGTAACAAACAGCATGGCACGTTGATAAGAGAGGTAATTCTGTAAGCTATAAATATGTGTTTCTTTTGTTATTTGTTGAATAAAACTCTTTTGGTCAATGTATAGGCATGATGTAGCCAGGCAGGAAGTACAGGCTGGTCTACTACAATAGGAGAAGACTGGGTAGAGGAACACAGTGAGGCACCATATAGCCACCGAAGGAGTAACATGCCAGAGAATCACAGATAATCCTCAATTTCGTATCGATATATAGTTTAATAGAAATGGATTAATAGATAAGAGAGAGCTAGTAAAATAGAAGCCTGAGCAACAAGCCACACTCTTTTTAATTAATACAAGCCTCTGTGTGTTTATTTGGGACTAGAGGGCAGCAAGACATATTTGGGAAGAAACTTTGCCTTCAACAGGTTAATCATAAATATGCAGGAGTGTCACATATATCTTGGTGCAAACTACAGGCTCTGTAATTGTACTTACAAACCATTCAACTAGAGGGAAACTATGACTGACCCAAGAAACATGGTGAAGTTATGAAACATGGAGGAGGACATATAAAAGTCAGTTTCTAAAACCACATAAGCCCTATGTGTTTTAACTTTTTAGTTTAATTTTCCTATAGAATCTAGAACAAATTATCTGATCTTGGATATAGTTCTAATTTCTAGAAGATGCATTTTAAGCTACGATAAAACATAGTTTCTCATCAAACTTTTAAGTGGCTTTGTTTTCAATGGTGTATTATATAAACAGAATTAAATGTTAAATAAAAACACAACCCTTAAATTCTGCTAAATTTTGCCAGCAAATGTATTTATTCTAAAATTCACCGCTTGTAAATATCTGCGATAATTGTATACAAAAATAAATACTTCTAAATTATCATTCTCTCTAATTACTATTTTAACCTTCTCTTGAACACAAAGCCTGACACTAGCACAATATTTTTTTTAAAACAGGTCAACACAAATATAAAATAACCTGATCACTGCCACATTAATATAGCAAATCTCATGCATGTTTCTGGAAAATCTTCAGTTATGTGTTTTGAAGAAGAATGCATCTAAGCCTTGGGTATTTCCTCATTAATTATAATTATCAATCAATCACAAGCAGATCATAAAAACTGAGTAGCTCAAAAACTGCTTATATTGTAGATTAGCACATTTAATTTAGACTTTTCCATGAAATAATTTCTATGTCAGCTACTTTCCAAGAATACTCAACTAAATACATCATTTATATGTTTGTCCAAATGAGGAGATATTAGATAGAAAAGACATCTAATATTTGAAATTTATTTTCCAAAATAATCACATGTTGCTATTTTATGTATAGATAATTTATTCTTGATAAAAATTATAAAATGTTTGTTTTAAACATCTGTAGATAATCATGTTTTCATATGTGATGTAACTTACTGGTTTAAACAATGTTTGTGGTATAGGGTAAAGTCTAATGGGCTAAAACTTCACTAAGGAAAACTCAAAATGCACATAAAATCTCACACACTAATAGTAGGAGACTTCAACACTCCGCTCTCACCGCTAGACAGGACCTCCAGACATAAACTTAACAAAGAAACAAAAGAATTAATAGAAGTTATGACCCAACTGGGTTTAACAGACATCTATAGAACATTCCACCCAAATACAAAGGGATATACCTTCTTCTCGGCACCACATGGAACCTTCTCTAAAATTGACCACATAATAGGAAACATAGCAAATCTCCACAGATACAAAAAAATTGGAATAACCCCCTGCATCTTATCAGACCACCATGCATTAACATTAGAATTCAACAATAACACAAATCGCAGAAACCCTACAAACTCATGGAGATTGAACAATGCACAATTGCACCATCCCTGGGTAAAGGAACAAATAAAGAAATTGAAGACTTCCTCGATTTCAATGAGAATGAAGAAACAACATACACAAACTTATGGGACATTTTGAAAGCAGTGCTGAGAGGAAAGTTTATAGCACTAAGTGCCCACATGAAAAAAACTGGAGAACAGTCATACGAGAGAATTAATAGCACAGCTTAATGTTCTAGAACAAAAAGAAGCAAACTCCCCCAGGAGGAGCAGACGCCAGGAAATAATCAAATTGAGGGCTGAAATCAATCAAGTAGAAACCAGGAAAACACTGAGAAGAATCAATGAAACAAAGAGTTGGTTCTTTGAGAAAATCAACAAAATAGACAAACCTCTGTCCAAACTAACCAAAAGACAGAGAGAGAACATGCTAATTAACAAAATTAGGGATGAAAAAGGGGACATAACAACGGACTCTGAGGAAATCAAGAGAATCATCAGGGCATACTTTGAAAATCTGTACTCCACAAAATTTGAAAATTTAAAGGAAATGGACAATTTCCTGGATAGATATCACTTGCCAAAACTAAATCAAGAACAGATAAATAATCTAAACAGAACTATAACCCCTAATGAAATAGAAGCAGTCATCAAAAGTCTCCCAAAAAAAAAAGCCCAGGCCCAGATGGCTTCCGTGCAGAATTCTATCAGAAATTCAAAGAAGAGCTCATTCCAATACTCGTCAAAGTATTCCACACAATAGAAGCAGGAGGCTCACTGTCAAACTCTTTCTATGAGGCTACAATTACCTTGATACCCAAGCCACACAAAGACACAACTAAGAAAGAGAACTATAGACCAATTTCCCTCATGAACATTGATGCAAAAATACTCAATAAAATACTTGCAAATCGGATTCAAGAACACATCAGAAAATTCATCCACCATGATCAAGTAGGCTTCACTCCAGGAATGCAGGGATGGTTCAACATTAGAAAATCTATCAATGTAATCCACCATATTAACAATCTGTGAAAGAAAAACCACATGATCATCTCACTAGATGCTGAAAAAGCCTTTGACAATATCCAGCACCCCTTCATGATAAAGGTCCTAGAGAGATCAGGGGTAACAGGAACGTACCTGAATATAATAAAAGCAATATACAGTAAACCAACAGCTAACATCAAACTAAATGGAGAGAAACTCAAAGCAATTCCTCTAAAATCAGGAACAAGACAAGGCTGTCCACTCTCTCCATATCTCTTCAATATTGTACTTGAAGTTCTAGCTACAGCAATAAGACAACAAAAGGAGATAAAGGGGATACAAATAGGAAAAGAAGAAGTCAAACTTTCATTATTTACAGATGATATGATAGTTTACATAAGTGACCCAAAAAACTCCGCAAGGTTACTCCTAGAGCTGATAAACACCTTCAGCAATGTGGCAGGATACAAGGTAAACTCAAAAAATCAGTGGCCCTAGTATATACAGATGATGAAGTGACTGAGAAAGAAATCAGAGAAACATCACCTTTTACAATAGCCAAAAACAGCATCAAATATCTGGGGATAATGTTAACCAAGGAAGTGAAAGACCTGTATATCAAGAATTTTGTGTCTTTGAAGAAAGAAATCAAAGAAGATACCAGAAAATGGAAAGATCTCCCATGCTCTTTGATTGGTAGGATCAACATAATAAAAATGGCAATCTTGCCAAAAGCAGTCTATAGATTCAATGCAATCCCTATCAAAATTCCATCACAATTCTTCAAGGACCTGGAAAGAACATTAATCAACTTTATATAGAAAAACAAAAGGCCCAGGATAGCCAAAACATCCCTATATAATAAAGGAACTTCAGGAGGCATCACCATACCTGACTTCAAGCTGTATTATAGAGCTATAGTCCTGAAAACAGCTTGGTATTGGCAAGAAAATAGGCAGGTAGACCAATGGAACTGAATCGAAAGCCCTAATTTTAACCTACACACCTATGAACACCTGATTTTTGACAAAGAAGCTAAAACTGTGCAATGGAAAAAAGAAAGCATCTTCAACAAATGGTGCTGGCATAACTGGGTAGTGGTATGCAGAAGACTGCAGATAGATCCATGTTTATCGCCTTGTACAAAACTTAAGTCCAAATGGATCAAAGATCTCAACATACATCCAGCCACACTGAAACTTTTAGAAGAGAAAGTGGGAGATACTCTTCAACGAGTTGGTACAGGAGACCACTTCCTAAACATAACACCAGTGGCACAGGCACTGAGATCGACAATTAACAAATGGGACCTTCTGAAACTAAAAAGCTTCTGTAAGGCAAAGGACACAGTCAAAAAGACAAAAAGGCAGGCCACAGAATGGGAAAAGATATTCACTAACCCTACATCTGACAGAGGGCTAATCTCCAAAATTTACAAAGAATTCAAGAAACAAGTCTCCTAAACACCAAAGGATCCACTTGAAAGGTGGGGTACAGAGCTAAATAGAGAATTCTCAGTAGAGGAGGCTAAAATGACCAAGAGACACTTAAGAAAGTGCTCAACATCCTTAGCCATCAGGGATGTGCAAATCAAAACAACTCTGAGATACCATCTTACTCCTGTCAGAATGGCTAGAATCAAAAACACCGAAGACAATTTATGCTGGAGAGGATGTGGAGAGAGAGGAACACTCCTCCACTGCTGGTGGGAATGCCGACTCATACAGCCTCTTTGGAAATCAGTATGGAGATTCCTCAGGAAAATGGGAATTAATCTACCACTAGACCCAGCAATTCCACTCTTAGGCATTTATCCAAATGAGGCAGGTTCATACAACAAGGGCATCTGCTCCACTATGTTCATAGCAGCATTGTTTGTAATAGCCAGAACCTGGAAGCAACCTAGATGCCCCTCAACTGAAGAGTGGATAGAGAAAATGTGGTACATTTACACAATGGAGTATTACTCAGCAGAAAAAAACAATGGAATCTTGAAATTCGCAGGGAAATGGATAGCACTGGAAGAAACCATCCTGAGTGAGGTAACCCAGTCGCAAAAAGACAAACATGGTATGTACTCACTCATATATGGATTTTAGATATGGATCAGGATAGTGCCAGTCTGCACTTCCACAGATAGAGAGTCTGGGAAACAGGAAAGAACCTAAAAGATACGCATATATGCATAGTACCCAAGAGAAGAGGATAGAGACAAGATCCTCTGAATGGATGGGGAACACGGCGAGGGGTGGGGGGGAGTGGGACCTGGGAAGAATAGAGGGAGTAAAGAGGAAGGGAGTTGGTCATTGGGGAACAGAAAGTTGAGGGGGTGGGGGTAGAATAGGGGGAAGAGGGAATCATAGGATCGAAGACAGATCAGGCACCAGAGTGACCTCGAGTGATCTAAAGGTATAACATCAATTGGCAAGCTAAGCAATAGTGGAGGGATCACCTCGAATGCCCATTCCTGATAATGAACTTGATGTCTATAACCATCCGGGAGCCTTCATCCTGTGACTGATGGAAGCAGAGGCAAACACACAACTAAGCACTGAACTGAACCCAAGGAACCCAGTGACAGAGAGAGAGGAGTGATGAGCAAATTGGCAAAGAATGGGCTGGCAAAACCAACAGAGACAGCTGATCTGAACAGGGGAGTGCTCTTGGACCCCAGACTGACAGTGGGGAGGCCAGCATGGGACTGATCTGGACCCCACAAATGTGAGTGTCAGTGAGAAGGCCTGGGCAACCTATGGGGCCCTGAGCTGTGGATCAGTGTCTATCACTGGTATACAAACTGTCTTCATGTGCCTATAGCACAAAGAGAGATGCTCTCTCAGCCTGGACTCTTAGGGGAGTGCCTTGACCCTACCAAGAGTAAAATGACAGACTGTAGATATCCCCTATGTGGAAGGATTTGGCAATAGGGTGGGAGGGAGGGGAGGAAGGTGAGTGCGGGATGAGGGGAGGGAGAGGGAACTGGGATTGACATGTAAAACAAGCTATTTAAAATTAAAATAAAAAATGATAATAAAAAAAGGAAAGTGCTTACTTCTCAAACAGAAACAGTAGTAGGTTGACAAAGACTTCATTCATGATTTGGTTGTACTTTGGTGCATAAGAATCATGTATCTTGAAATTTCCGTTAACCAACATTTATCAATTAAAACCATGTCAAAGATATGAGTTGGAGAATCATGAATTTGCATTTATAATACCTCAGTGCCAAACTAAATCCTTTTAATTTACAATTTTCAAAAATTAGTTATATTTATTTTAGGCATTATAATATAATTATATAATCTGTTTCTTCATTTTGTTTCCTCAAAATTCTCCCATATAACCCCACGCCATTCATTTTCAAATTCAATGTCTTTTTCTCTCATTAATTGCTGTTTCATTACTGTTTGGAAACAGCGTTTATTCTAATCAGAATCTTAAATTTGAAATTTATGCTCCCATTAACATTTCTATAAATTAAATAATGCTATCTGTTTTAATATTTCTTTGCATTTTGGTGCAGATATTCAATCACTGGAAGCAAAATGTTCTATATCCATGACAATGGAACAATAATTACCACTAACCTGCTTGACAGGGAGGTCAGTGCTTGGTACAACCTGAGTGTCACAGCCACAGAAACATGTAAGTCCTGATTAACCAGCTCCACAATCAGTCATTATATTTTTATAAATTTGAAATCATAGACTGATATAAGTTGAATTTTGTAGAAATTAAAATTTTATATGTAATGTCATATATGTAGGTAATTTTATTATAAGGTAGTAACTGCTAACAGTAACTGAAGCTTCCTATGAATTCACTATTAAATACCAAGTTTTCCTCATTTAACAATTATTAACTTCATAAAAAACAAAATTTTAATGAAACACAGTATAGTGAAAACTGATTTCTAAACTAAAATGTATTTTATAGCAGTATGTCATGATTTTGTCTGGTTGAATATTTATATTGACAATAAAACTAATGGATGTTTTATAACTTTTAGCATATATTCTCCATATTAATTCTTAAAACAGGTGCATTCAAAAACCATATGTATTTGTAAAGATAGTTATAATGTTGTTGAATAGGTATTGATTCCTAAGTTCTCCATTTGCTAAAATGGTGTTTTAAATTTTTGTCACTACTGTGCAAACAGTTAATCTACTGAGTGGAATTTTGAGTTATTTCTTTTTAAATGGAATGGATTAGACTATTTATACATTTATAGATAATATATAGCAACTGAACAGGAATGACTATACCTTATCTATTTTAGAGTGAAATATTAGAACTAATCTTATACATTAGTACCAAGGCATATTTAACATAAATCATATTTTAATCTAATTATGTTGTAATATATGAAAGATTCAAAGAACATATATATATGTATATATATAACAAAAAACATGAATTCTTTTCAAACTTGTGCCCAGTACTTGCTTTCAGACATTCAAGTTTTAATTATCCACAGTGACTATACTTTGATCCCTTGTTCCTCTTATTGTTCAGACATAGGCAGATTATCTTTTCATATTATAAATATACATCTACTCATACATCTTTGTTGACTGTTATTGTCCTTCAAATTGTGAATTCGTAATTTTTCTGATCAATTATACTAATTAAAGCAAAATATAATATTCATATGAAAACTGAAAAGTAATTTTATGTAGTCAATGAACAGTGCATGTAGCACAACAAAAGATGAAGACTAATCACAGAAAATATCGTATCTTTCTTGTTATTGATTTTATAGAGACTTATAAAATAATTGGATCTTTCTTAGCATTTGTTAAGGCTCAAATCATATGCTTGCCTTATAACACACTACATATAGCTAGTATGTGACATTTTAGATTGGGAATGTAATTTAGCCTGCTTTTATTCACCATTATGTTGATTTTGTATTGAAGAAGACAGGTGAGCTTGAATGTTGATGATCAAAGTGGAAATGCTTCACTTCAGAAAACAAACATTCAAAATGCCATATGCAGCAAATTTGAAGAGGTTACAGCACCACAATTTATTACATTCATCTGGTTTACACAAGCTTAATTCCTACTTAACTGATTCAGGCTTAAGTCTGAAATAATGTACAGGAAGCTATATGAATCCTATTTCTAGAATTAATAGGTCTATATGACCATCAATATCATAAAAAATGTATACTTCTGAAATAACACTAATAAATTATGATAAGTTTAAAATAATAAAAATAAAGCTAAAGGATTATGAGATTTGTTGTAATAGAAGAATCCTTTAGTTTTGTTTTTTTTTTCTGTTTCATATAAGGTGTCTTTTCTTACATGAGACATAGATTTTTTCTTTAGAGTAGAGAGAACCACACTCCAACTCCAAAGCAAGCTTTCATTATCAATTGAATTGGGATTACAGAAAGTCCATTTCCTTTGTATATAGAGCAGCAGAATAAAATTAGGAAGATTAATGAAATTTTATCCATTTGGAAATGTGATATACTATCAGTCCGATTTATCCTTTTTCTGAGACATTTTCTTTGGATGATTCATAGTTTTTTCCAGAGGTCTCATTTGTCCAGGTCTCTTCAGATTCCTCAGCCAAATTATTTATTCTTGTTGAAAGACTGAAATAAAATCATGTCCCAATCTGAACTTTGGGATATTTCCAAATTCGACAGGTTATATCTTATCAAATGAAAAGCACTTTCTAGTCATATAAATTAAGAGTGAATGGCCAGGCTGCTTGATGAATTATACCTATTCAAATCAAGAGTTCTCTCCTGTTTCAATATACTCTTTATTGATTTTGACAGTATCTGTAGGTTTTCTTCTGTGGAGCAAACAAAAGCCAAGCCTCTTCTCCATAATAACACATATCCTGCTTTCTGTTCCAAGGTGAACACATTGTTAAATTATATAGGATGATAACTCACTAGCTTTTGTTTTTGTTTATGTTTTGTTTTGTTATTTTTTACCATAATCCAGTCTCTCCACAATTGTAATTCCTTTCAAATTAGGATGTAAAATTAAAATTAATAAAGTATTGCTTAATCTATCTCTGGGTAATGCTATAGATCATCCTTTAGGATTCCAAGCTGTAAAGTGAGTATTGGTTGAATTACCTAATTTATTTAGCTACTAAATTTGTTAGTATTCTTCACTTTCCAAGTTTCTTTTTAATGAAAATGTAGGAGAATTCCAAGGACTCTGGTTGATTACCCAATATGTTAAGCATTTAGCTTTTAATGTATAGCCTGTTCCATTGCCTGTAATTTTTCTAATGTCAAAGGTCATTTTTCCACCCAAACAGGTTTCTCAGTTAACTACTTTAAAATTAAGGCTGTTGATACCTTTGAGCAATTGGCAGCTGTTGTGCACTGCTTATGTACAACTTGTAAGGTTATTGATTGTTTTTGTTAATATGTTTTAATACTTTTTCACAGAAGCATAAATTAGTTCATAGTTTGTTTCTGAGATTGGAGGAATGTTAATCTGTGTTTTCTAATGGTGGAATAAATCATCTCCCCATATATTCACTGCTATGTCAGCTACATATGTCTTTAATTTCTCTATCTGTACTTCTGTCCACATACAATTGACCCAACGTGCACATTTTTAAAACATGGAATGAAGTTTGAATCCCTAGAAGCTGGACATTTACTTTCTGAAAAGGCCATTATGGATGCCAAGATACTGATGAAAGTATTGCTACATCTTCACCTGTTTATACTCAACCCTCAATTTCCATGACATTCATTTGAATTTTTATCTTAGGTCTCTGATCATTTATAGCAGTTTGCCAAATCACTTTTTAATGGTTTTCATGAAAAGTTCTGTCATATCTAATGAAGCTGCTACAAGATCCAAAGCAGTATGGCTTTTAAGATCAAGAATTTACATTTTAAGTGCTCTGAGGAGTCCTAGTGCCAATAAGGAATGATTGAAGTAAATGTTACTGTGGCCTATCAGAGGAACCTCAAGTTATTTCCCTATGGCAAAGTATTATCTTGTTTGTCTCTTTCTTAATCTATATAATTTAGTTCAATGGTGGCCTTTTCCACACCTTCTGTATACTCTAGAAGGTCATGGCATTCTGTTTGGATAATGTGTAGAACATATGTTGTTTCTAGAAAAACTTTTCCTAAAATCCCTTTTCAGATGATATGGTTTACCACAATAAAAATATTTGCCGATTTTTCTTAAAATTTTTAGAAATAACTTCTATCCAAGTATCATCACAAGTGGGAGATCCAATGTCAACTTCATTTTAATTATTTCATCTACTGGTGCTGATTTTGTCTTTAAAAGCCTAATCTCACCTTTGTGCTCTGAAATAGAATTTTCAAAAGCCAAGGTTTTAATTAATGTTTGTCTAACTTCTGCATCAAATATCATTCTATTTACAGTTGAAGTCACTATTTGTAAAAAATCAGTTGATGATTTTTTTGGGGACTTCTACAAGTTTAGTGACTGATTTATTCCTTTTCCTGATTCTTCAACTTTTCTCAAGCATTCAAAGGTTTTATCATGTATGGGGAAATGGTGTGATCATCAAGAATAAACTGTGTTTGCACAACAGCAAATTTGCTTTCACCAAGGAACTTTGGGAAATTTCCACACATCTAGATCAACTTCATTATTCTATTTCCACCATGTTTTCCATTGTAACTGATGGTCACTTTCCACCATTGCTATAGCTAAATCTTTCCTGTCTTGTGGAATAATTCTGTTATAAATTGGTCATGAATTTAGCGTCTACTTCACTAAAGGCGAATACATAACTTATGCTACTAATGTTTCCTTAAATCACTTTAAATTTAACATTTCTACAGGATCACAGTTAACTACTGACTAGCCTTTTGGTACTTATCATCTGGTGGCTATTTCTGAACAGTAGCTAGATATATTAAGTCTGATTTTCTAATACCCTGGGACTGCTCCTCTTCAGTTTCACAATGTAATGCTATGGTAGGGTCTATTTTAAAATCTACTGTCTATGTGTGGATGTTTTCATCAATTTTTAATTAATTTTTCATATTTGACAGTGATATTAAACCACTTTTTTAAAGAATAGCACAGGAACAAACAAAGTGATATTAATTATATAAAACATAATTTCAATCCCAGGTAAGCTGTTATCACTATTTAATTTTCCCATTTTCAAATTATTCATTGTGGGACCATGAAAAAACTGAATAACCTTCATAGTCTTATTCTTCCCATTCAAAACATGGTACAACATTTTTTAAATGTAATTCCTCTGTTGTTTTTTTGTTTTTTTTTTATGCTCATGTTACTTTATTTTTATTAAGGAATACAGGAATCTTTAATAAAAACTTTGGCCAGGCAAGACTAAGCTGTTTGTTTATTGGTATTGAGGGTGTTATTTACCTCTTTCCTATATAATAGGTTTCATTAAAACATACAGATGATACTTATTCCCTGAGTTGTCTTCTAAGTTACATGAGTTTCAGTCCCAGTACCCACTCTGCTGGAGTCCAGCTCCAGAGGCTTTTAGGACATGAAGAGGAGATATGGAGTACAGCAGACAAGAAAAGGAGATTTAACAGTCTGAGGGTGAACCAGTTTAACTGCTTGTTGTATTTTTTGGGGGGGAGTTGTATCACCTTGACTCCAGCTAGAGTCACCAGGGAAGAGGAAACTAAAGCTGAGAAAATGACCAACATAATTACTATGGGTGCAAGCCTGTGTACATTTTCTTAATACATTGTTTAACATGGGGTACCCAGATAGCAGATACCCAGATACCACCTCTGAGATAATGGTCCTTAGTGTTGTAAGAAAGCAGGCTAACAAACCAATGAAGAGCAAAGCACTAAGCAACATTCCTTCATAGTTTCCTTTTCAAGTCTCTATTAAAGGTAAATATATGAATTACATAGACACAAACCTTAGCTTTCCTCAAGTTAAAATGTCAGTGTACAACAAACCTTTAATTCAATTAATTGCATGACTTTTAATAGAGATATAATTAGTTACATTCTATATCTTTAATTTGCAGACAATGTACAACAGATGTCTTCTGTGCCTGTGTATGTACAAGTATTTAATATTAATGACCATGCTCCTGAATTCTCTCAGTACTATGAGACTTATGTTTGTGAAAATGCTGAATATGGTGAGGTAAGATAAAAGATCACAATTGATCTCTAAATCCTGAGTAACAGAGAATTTCATGTTTTGTATTCTTTAAGTATAAGATATTAATTGCTAATATAATGCAATATATTTTATATTACGTGAAGTATATCATTTGTGTTATATTCATCACAATATATTTGGACAAATGCTATATACATTTTTACTAAAGAAAATAATAATTTAGTATACCTATACTGTGATTTTTTTACTTTGTAAAAACTTAAATCCATTTTGTTAAATTAGTTCTTAGTTGGTCTAAGAAATAGAAACCCAAAGTCAAGTACTGAAGAAGGTGCAGAGAGATTAGAGAGAATAAGCAAGGCATGGCCAAAAATTGCCACCTTTGCATTTCTGCAGACAAGTGAGTTTCTGTTTTCTCTGGTTATATACTGTTTCTGCCAAGCTATCTTAATTCCTTTCTGTCTGTAAAGAAATACAGACATCTATGTTTAGCTAATGGTAGGCTTATTTCTTTTACTTTCAGAAGGCTTTATTTGTATAAGCAAGATATCTCCTCATAAGTTCCCTTTATGTGTCAATTTTAAATATAGGTTATAACTAATGTAAGAAAAAACATATAGTAAGTATAATAAGTATGTACAATATATACAGGCAATAAACCCATCAACAAGGTCTAGTCTATTAGCATTTGACAATTTCAGAGAAAATACTCCATTGTCAATTATTTCTTGATAAGTCCAAAGTCTTGTCCCTAATTCGTTTTGTATTTTAATTTGCATCATCACATTACTTTTAATGTCTTCCTAAAATATTATGTTTTACACATCTATAGTGAGTTTTTATACTGAATCTGGTAGACATGGAACACTGTAACCATACTATGTATTCTGTACTCCCTCAGAGACTCAAAAAGGAAATAATATTAACTGAGTACACAGGAAGCACAAACAAGTGACTTTCAAACATGTGAGAAATGTCAGAAAAAGCTGGCTGCCTATACAGTCAACCAGGGTTTCTCTGCATTGTTCAGGCTTCTTTTGGGGCCTATAGACTTAGCATTTCTGATGGACATTTCTGTGAAACAAGATATTCTGAAAAACTAGTCCTCCTTGTCTTGGCAAGTTTAGCAGTCAAATTCTTTAGTGTCCTGTTTGTTCAACTTGGACAGTATCCTGTCAGGAGTTGAGGGCAAGGGGACTTTCTTGCTCAGTGGCTTACCTATGCAACAAAGAATGGAAACTTCATGTGGAGTTTCTTTGATGCCCATCATCTTCTCTGATTTACAATAATGCTTCCAAGAGCAGGCATGTCTCATTATCATAAAAATGAGCCTGCATTATTAAAACTTTTCAGATGCTATGGTTTGTAAATCTCTGAAGTATTTGAAGATAAACTTTTTGGGTAAAACATCTCTTTGACATTGTAAGCATAACTAATGTGACTACAAGTTCTATAGTAATAGTCAACTAATTACTAAAATGCATTTTCTCACCATACCATAGAGTTGACAACAACAAATTTCAAGGACTAAAAATTTGAATTCCATTTTAAAATGACCTATACAGGTATAATACCTTGAAAATATTAGAAATGTAAGTACAGTAAGTTTTAACATAATTTGTTTAAAATTTGTAACAATATACTACATTTGCATGCATTATATCAAATCGATCATAAAATATTTAAAACTAGTAGTTGCTTTTTGAGAGTAGATTCGATATTCGGCCCTACTATACTATCATATCTCTATTGTCTGTTTATACTTTTCGTAGTAGATTCAATAATCTATTCTTTTTATCTAGTCATATTTGTATTATTTTCTTAAAAAATACTTGAATAAAATGCCCTTCTTTCAACTTTCTTCCTGATCAAAAGTAGTGCATTTTTACCAATTCCCTTAAACAGTGTCAAATATCAGGACCCAATGAGTGACCAATTATCATTCATCCCATCTCTTGGGAATGTGGGTGTTCTGTTTTTAAAGTTACTTTCTATTGTCTATGGCTGATGGAAATTTTAGGGGGTGCTGAAAAGAAAACCTGGGTTAATTATCAAGGTACCATTTATTGTCCAGTCTCTGAGTAATGGGAAAGTACAGGACATGTTTAAAATTCTAGTTAAATTAGTCTGTGAGATTGGATCGTTTCAAATAGCTACCTCAAAATTGCTCAGAGCAGTGTCTGTGAGACTGGATAATCTAAAGACGTCAGGTTGAAATTACTATTCCCAGTTTGTGGTCCAAAGCTGATCTTGGTGTTATTCAGTTTAATGGTGTTGTCATCATCCTAATGAACTTTAATTGTGGGGCCTCTTCCTCCTTTTGGAAACTTCAAAAATCACTTGATAAAGAATCATCTCTTCAAACCAAGAAGTGTCTTCTTCAAATCAAATCTTTATTAACTATTATTCTGTCCATATTTTTCTTAACATGCAGTAGAAAAAAAGCAAAACCTCCTCTCCAATGTAACACATATATTGGTTTCCATTTGCTGATCAACTTAAAAAAATCATTAGACCTACTATATACAGAGATAAAGAGAGCTGAGAAAGAAATCAGAGAAACATCACCCTTTACAATTGCCACATACAAGATAAAATACATTGAGGTAACACTAACCAAGCAAGTGAAAGACCTCTATCACAAGAACTTTGAGTCTTTAAAGAAAGAAATTATATTGAGTAATTTTGCATTTAAGTTTGTGAGATAGATTGGTATGTAATTATCTTCCTTGTTTTTTTGTGTGATTTGGGAATTAGGCTAACTGTTGCCTCATAATTAGTATTTAGAAATATTTCTACTTTTATATTCTGTGTAACAATTTGAGGTGTATTTGGGAATTCTCATAGAATTCTGTGCTGAAAACATCTGGCCCTGGGCTTTTATTGGTTTCAAGAGTTTTAATGACTGCTCCTATTTTCCTTGGAGTAGAAGGTTTGTTAAAATTGATTATCTGGTCTTGTGACCATAAAGTTGTTCACTGCTTTTATATTTTCCAATTTTGTGGAGTACAATTTTTTTGAGTTGATCTTGTATCCTGTCACTTTGCTGAAGGTGTTAATCAACTGTAAGAGTTGCCTGGTAGAGTTCTTTGGGTCACTTATGTAGACTATCATATCATCTGCAAATAGTGAAAGTTTTGCCTCTTCCTTTCCTATTTGTATCCCCTTTATCTCCTTTTTTGTCATATTGCTCTAGCTAGAACTTCGAGTACAATATTGAAGAGGTGTGGGAAGAGAGGACAGCATTGTCCCTGATATAAGCAGAATTGCCTTGAGTTTCTGTCCATTTAGCTTGATGATGGCTGGTGGTTTACTCTATATAGCTTTTAATATGTTTAAGTATGTTCCTGTTATCCCAGATCTCTCCAAGACCTTTAACATGAAGGGATGTTGGATTTTGTCAAAGGCTTTTTCAGCATCTAGTGAGATGATCATGTGATTTTTGTACCTCACCTTGTTTATATGATGTATTACATTGATAGATTTTCTTATGTTGAACCAACCCTGAATCCCTGGAATTAAGCCTGCTTGATCACAGTGGATGAGTTTTCTGATGTGTTCTTGGATCTGATTTGCCAGTATTTTATTGAGTATTTTTGCATCAATGTTCATGAGGGAAATTGGTCTTAAGTTTTCGTTCTTAGTTGTGTCTTTGTGTGGCTTGGGTATCAGTGTTATTGAAGCCTCATAAAAAGAGTTTGGCAAAGACCCTTCTGCTTCTATTGTATGGAATACTTTGAGAAGAATTGGTATAAGCTGTTCTTTGAATTTCTGTCAGAATTCTGCACTGAAGACATCTGGCCCTGGGCTTTTTCTGGTTGGGAGACTTTTGATGACTCTTCTATTTCTTAGGTGTTATAGGTCTCTTTAAATTGCTTATCTGTTCTTGATTTAATTTTGGCAGGTGATATCTATCCAGGAAGTCGTCCATTTCCTTTAAATTTTCGAATTTTGTGGAGTACAGGATTTCAAAGTGTCCCCTGATGATTCTCTGGATTTCCTCAGTGTATGTTGTTATGTGCCCCTTTTTATTTCTGAATTTGTTAATTTTCTGCTGTTTGGTGAGTTTGGATAAAGGTTTGTCTATCTTGTTGATTTTCTCAAAGAACCAACTCTTTGTTACATTGATTCTTTATATTGTTTTCCTAGTCTCTGCTTTATTGATTTCAGCCCTCCCTTTGATTATTTCCTGGCATCTACTCATCCTGGGGAAGTTTGCTTCTTTGTTTTCTAGAGCTTTTAGCTGTGCTGTTAGTTCTCTAGTATGACTGTTCTCCAGTTTCTTCATGTGGGCACTTAGTGCTATGTACTTTCCTCTTAGTACTGCTTTCAAAGTATCCCATCAGTTTGGATATGTTGTGTCTTCATTCTCATTGAATTCTAGGAAGCCTTTAATTTCCTTTTTAATTTCTTTTTTGACCCAGGCTTGGTGCATTAGCGCATTATTCAATTTCCATGAGTTTGTAGGATTCCTGCATGTTATTTTTTTAACTCTAACTTGAAAGCATGGTTGTCTGATAAGATACATTGAATTACTCCAACTTTTTTGTACCTGTTGAGGTTTGCTATGCTGCCAATTATGTGCTGGGATTTTTTTATTTTTTTGGTTTTTACGAAACAGGGTTTCTCTGTATTGTTTAGGAGGCTATCGGTCCAGCCCGGCCTTGAACTCACAGAGATCCGCCTCCCTCTGCCTCCCGAGTGCTGGGATTAAAGGCATGAGCCACCAATGCCCGGCCATTTCTTGCTTTCTTGAAGTGAAGTTTTATTTCCTTTTTATGGTTCTCTGTCAAGTTCAGGTTGTATTTTTAAGGTTGTTTACTCCTGCTTCATTGGTGTTGGGATATTCAGGTCTTTCTGTTGTAGAGCCACTAGGTTCTGTTGTTGCCCAGTTGATCTTTCTGTTGATGAATGTATTTTTGCACTATACCCATCTCTTCCTCAAATTGGTAAAGATGGATCTGTTCCTCTGGAAGCCTCTGGTGAATTAATGCTAGGGCTCTTTCTCCAATTGATGCAGGAGATGCATGTGTCTCTGGGTGTCACTTTTATCATTGGGGACAGTTGGGTGCTAGGAGGACCATGAGTTCCATGGGTTTGCAGGATGGAGTGGGACTTGTAGTTTGCATAGTACAATGGGAGGCATGGTTGCTGTTGATGGTGAGTCCTCTGTGCATGAGTCTTACCTTCTGATCTAATTCTGGGTCTTTTCCACCAATCAATGTGTGCCTGTGTCTCAGGGGGGCACTGATGCCTCATTCAATGGTGGGCTGGATGGCTGGGGGTGGGTGATGGGTTCTGTCTGATTGTGGATCCGAGTGGGACTTTTACGTTGCAGAGTCCAAAGGGAAGCATAGTGGGAGTGGTTGAAATGCTTTCCCACAGGAATCTTGGCTGCTGAATTGCTGCTGTGGTTGAAATTTGAGCAGCTTTTTTTCCTATTTTCAATCTTTTTTATGAAATTTCAAAAAATTGTATATTCACTCCTTTGTATTTGACATATGTACATTTTATAAACTCTTGACAAAGAGGGACTTAAAATATTTGGCATTAACTAGATTTAAATCAAATATGTAGTAAGTGTTTTATAGGAAGATCAACAAATGTTCATTCTTACTTGTATTATTAAACTATTCACACATTGATTTTAGATTTGAGCAAATTCAACTCATTTATTTTGATGGATTGAATGAGAATGATCTCCAATACTGCATACATTTGAAGGGTTGGTTCCCAATTGGTAGATTGTTTGACATATAAAGCAGTATTGTTTGACATGAATAGTAAAAATCCAGAAACAGATTTTGAGGTTCAATCTGAAGATCAGAAAAGCAAAAAAGCCAAGCCACCAGAGAACTATTACCTCCATCAAGGCTGGGATGATCCTTTCTCTAAACATGGCTGGGGGATAATTGGCCTGTCCTAAGTTCTGTTCCTGTTTTATGTAACTATCTAGTGCTGGGATTAAAGCTCTGTGCCACAACTGCCCAGCTTGTATGGCTAACTAGTATTGCTGCTGGAATAAAAGACCAATGCCTTGATTCTATGAATTTGCTAGCTTTGCATTCTGATCTTCAGGTAAGCTATATTAGATCATAAACAATATATCATCAAAATTATACTGAAGACAGGTTCACTCTTTAATTATAAAATGTTTTACAAGCTCATTAATAAATAAGCAATTATGAGAAAATGTTGACTGTAAAATTTTATCTGTGCTCAAATTTATTGACATGGTCAAGGGCATAAATATAATTTCACTCTATGAATAGTTTACAACATAAAAAGTTGATCTATATAATAGTTGAAACTTAGTTATTCTTTGTATCAAATTAAACCAGGTAAAAGATGCTTTATTCTTTAAAGTGCTTTACAGGTTGTCAATTAATCATACATATTGCATTTTATATAAAGTTTAAGTATATTTATATGCTTATATACTAGTATATAATATATGCATAATTAGTAATAAAATGCCTATCTCTCTACCAGGAAGAATAGCTCTAAGAGACATTCAAAGGACTGTTTATCATCCATTCTTATTCTGGTTGATGACAGTACTTACCTGAAACTTAATATAATTATTATAAAATGAAATTATTGAAAGATTTTATCAAAAGAGCATTTTAAAATTTTCTAAAATAATATATATGTTTAAATCATACATAGGTTCATACTAAAAGTGGTTATTGTAAAATTTTTTAAGTTTACAGTATTAATTTTTATCATAGAATCCAAAGATAATTATAGATAGGAAGTCCAATGTACCATGTAAGGGGAACTAAGACAGAATTGCATGCAGACAACAAATGAAATACTAGAAACAGAGCTATCAAAATTGACTATAATGTAGGTTTATCCCTAATACTTCTTTTCTAAATCAATGATTATTTTATTAATTATAAAATATCATAATTAATTACTGAAAATCATGTTAATTTCAAAGAGCTCAGTAGACTCAGTTAGCTAAATAAAATAGCTTAGATAACTAATCACCTCTAAGGAGAAGTACTTCTTAGATTTATTTGCACACTGAAATGCATTTTTCCAATTGTTAAATTTTAAGAGAAAATAATGTGAGCCTATTAATATCCATTTCTTCTTTTTTTTTCTATTTTGGTGACACTCACCCTTATTTTTTTCATTTAAATTAGAAACACGAATGCTTCACATGTCAATACCAGTTCCCTCTCCCACCCCTCCTCCCTTGCCCCTCAAACAGGCCCCCCCACAAGTCCACACCACATCCCCACATCATTTCTCAGGGAGGGTAAGGCCCTCCTTGGGGGGATCTCCAAAGTCTGTCATTTCATCCAGCACAGGACCAAGGCCCTTCCCCATGTGTCAAAGCTGAGAGAGCATCCTCTATTTGTAACGGGCTCCCAAAGATCATTCGTATACCATGGTAAACACTGATCTACTACCCAAGACCCCAGTGATTTCTGTGGCCTCCTCCCTGGCAGTACATTCATGGAGTCTGGATCAGTCCCTTGTTGGCCTCTCAGCCATCAGTCTGGGATTCAAGAGCTCCCCCTTATCCTGTCAACTGTCTTTGTGTGTTTCATCATCATGGTCCCTTTGCTTATCACTCCTCCATCTCTGCCACAAGGTTCCAGGAGTTCAGTTCAGTGTGTAAGCTCACAATCAAAAACTAATATCCATTTCTTAAAGATTTGTCTTTGGTAAATAAAATATATATATCTATATACATATATATATGATAGTGCTCACCTGAAAATTAATATAAAATATAATATATATATATACTATAATATAATACATATATACACTCAAGTTGAATGCACTGTTTTAATAGTGCCTCAGATGCTTTCAAGACTGACATCTTGTTTTAAATTATGGGAATAAATTATATCTTGTTGCAAATCCATGTATGAAACAAATACAAAAGCATTTATATTTTATGCAACTTACCTATTTTATTTGTTTCTAGGATGAACAATGTATTTTGGTTAGTTTTAATTAAGTACACTGGAGCATACATACAAAATCATTGGTTTTATCTTCTGAAGCTTTCATTTTCTAAAGGGTGTTTTTTTTTAAAATTGTGTTTGTATTACAATTCATGTAAATGCTCTCAAATGCTCTATCTGTGAGTTACACTGGCAAAACCTGTAGCACAAGCTGGCCTCAAATTCATGATCCTCCTGACCCTGCCTCCTTTAGCAAGTTCTACAAGCATGAATCATCAGTCCCAATCTTCCCCACTTTATTTTAAAGACTCAACTGTGTGCTTTTACAACTCTGTTAAATGACAGAGCCTTTTAAGGGCATTTCAAAAGATTTTTTCCTACATTTTTTTCTTTTTGGGTTGTAAAGAATGTTTATCATGTTTCTTGCTACAGTGACTTTAAGGCAAATTAATTAAAATACCTAAACTAAAAAATGTGCACGACTTCAAGGTAAGTGTATGCTTCATGATTTCTTTTAATTCTTGTTTTACTTTGAAAAATAAAACAAAACCACATAATCAATAAAAAACTGCAACACCATTTATGGTAATCTACCTAGGGAAAGTTTTCTTGTTGAGGATATAATAAAATTATAGGAATGTACACAAGCTCTTTACAAAGGAAGTCCAGGTGAGCCTGCAAATGAATCCATAACGTTATATATTTATACCTAGCCAAATGTCTGAGGTCAGAAAATTTGCAAGTAACATAACATGGATTAAAAATACTACAATATTAAATACTTGTCCTCATTAATGTAAACAAAATCATAAAGAATTTTAAAATGAAATGAATATCTTGCTATAATGTGATAACCATATTTATTACAATAAACTTCAGTTGAATAAAACTTTTCTTACAATCATATATTTAAAAATTTATTATTTAACTGAAAACAATTTATTTAGAAAACATAAATCAATATGAGTGCATATTGTACAGATTGCTTCAGTTTCATAAAACTTTTATTTGCACCCATGCAGAAAATTAACTGGTCTTTGAAATATAACGTATTCATTTGGATCTTTTATCTCTCTATCAAGTAAAGTTTTGTTTGAAACACTGTTAAAAGCATTTTGATGATGATTTGATGGAAACAGAAAACAATAGTTACTATAGTGAATTTATTTTAATTTCCAGAATTAATCACAATTTCACTGCATGATCATGACTGGTTTATCTATTTTTTTAATGTAATGAATAAGTATATATCATGTCATAAGACAATTAATTGACAACTGATTTGATTCCATGAGCATTTCTTATAGTTTTATGATTTCAGATAGAGAGTGGCACATAATTGGGAAGTTATTTTCCTATCATCTATTTGGTCAAAGGCAATCATACATTGCCTTTATGCTTTAACTTCATCATTTCTGAAAATAAACCTCATAACTAATTACTTTATTGAAAAAACTAATCACTTTAAAAATGTTTATTACCAGGAATTCTATACTTCATGACTGCATCTACAAATCATAATGACTGACTATGTGATGAATAATGAGAACAAATAATGAAGTAAGGGAAAAATATAGAAATGATGCAATAGTTCCAATGATATTATTAAAGTAATTTGTAGAAAAAGTACATGAGATAAGAGCATTGAGCAATTTGAATTTTAAAAAATAATAATCAGCTTTCTTTATATTTTTCCAGATAATTCAAACCATCAGTGCAATAGACAGAGATGAGTCAATAGAGGATCACCATTTTTACTTTAATCACTCTGTGGAAGACATGAACAACTCAAGTTTTATACTAATAGACAATAAAGGTAACCCCCCCCCCATGTATAAGCATGTTTGGTATAATCAAATAAGTTTTATACAAGTGGATATGGTAAAATGATTATTTATTGTTGATGCAATACGGAAAAATATAACAAATGAGCAATGGTCAAAATTGAAAACAACTCAAAATCAATTTTAAGGACATTGATTCAGTTACTCCCCACATTTCTCCAAACAAGAAGCACATGCAGAAGTCATGAGTCAAGGGACTAGAAATGTAATTGCTTTTTCTAGCATATGTAAGACCAAGTGATTTACATATACAATCACCTTACATAAATTTAAAATAGAAAACTATCCTTTATTAGAGATACTAAAATATGTTACAGCCTCTTAAATATAACCATGGTGGTGACATCAGTAGTCTTTTGCCATATTGGATTCTATCAATTATCAAGATAAAGACAAAGAGCTCATAATCTATATTTATGTTACGTGAATTTACCTTGATTTAATTATGAATACCTGTCAAATCTAATTAGGTTACATAAACTTAGTTTTTAATTATGTTTCTTACTTCACAATCCGAAGACTTTATTAACTGAAGAATAAATTTCGCAAAGTCAGGATTTTGTTTGGAAAGGCAGAATCTCTGTGTGATATGTGCTACTTATGGCTCAATAAAGCTTGCCTGAAGTTCAGGGTGCAAAGCCAGACATACTATTTAGATATAGAATTTCAGCAGTGGTGGTACACAACTTTAATCCCAGTACTCAGAATTAAGAACTAGACTAATCTGTTAGCTCAAGGCTACACTTACTACATGAAATTGATCCATTCCTAAAATAAACAGCTCACACAAAAGTAATCTCAGCACCTAGAATCATGTACCTTAGTCCCAGCACTAGGGAGCTGGAGAGAGGAGTGATATGGCTGGGCAGAGAAAGAAATAAAAGACAGAAGGAGACAGGAACTGAGAGATTTTTGCCTCTCTTATCTCAGCTCGAACCTTGAACCCCAATATATATCTCTGAGTCTTTTTGTGTGCTGCATTTCTGATCCTTTTGTCTAAAGAAAATAAATAATAAAATATTTAATTTAGCTTTTTCAGTAACTTTAAAGATATTTTCCATATATATATATATATATACATATATATATATATGCCTGCCTCTCTGTCTGTCTGTCTATCTATCTATCTATTTAAATTTTGCATTTTACCTAAAAGTTTGTGCATTAGATACAGACTTGTAGGGAAATTAATGTTTTATATTGTACCTCTCAGTTTGACTTTATGGATACAAATATTATTTAGGGTAATGGGAATGTGCCCTGGTTTGCTTATGTTGCTGTGATATAACATTGTCTTTTTTTGTATTGGAAAGAAAATCGTTTAATTACCTTTCAGTTCATTTTGGTGCAATCCAGATAAGGAGCTTGAAGCAGAAACCAAAGAGGCTTACAAGCATGTTTTTGTCTTACTTGCTCAGTATTCTTTCTTAGAAAGTGTAGTCCCATTCTTCCTACATCTACTGGCAACCAAGAAAATGTTTCACAGATACGCCCACAGGCCAAGCTAATTAGACATTCCCTGATTGAGGTTCCATTTTTCTCCATTATATCAACTGGTAAACAAAAATTAGCTATCATAGAGGGCCACTCAACAGTAACACAAACACAGCAAAGAAACAAAAGCCTAGAAATGTAAAACTCAAAAAAAATTTTGGAATAAAAACATGAAAATGTCGATCTAAGTATTTCATAGTTAAGAAAATTTTCATATAAATGGAACTGATGATTATCATCTTAATTTATGCTTTGAAGTTATCTTTGAAATATCCCCTAATTTCTTCAGTATTTCTATTTTGAGGAACGAACTGAAATGACAAGTAATAAATGTATGTCTGGAATTTATATGAAATACAACTTAAAATGTCACAGTAAAAAGAATATCCTAACAAGATTTCTCTCCAAAATTGTTTTATGAATTTTCTAATTAGAATGAGTAATATTTAAGAGTACATGGGTTTGAAGGTAGGTGACAGAGTATCTTACACATTTACAGTATTGTGAAATTAATTTGTTCTGAAGGAGTGTTGGGAAAATTTACTGAAAATAAAGTTGAGCTAATTATATGTCTAGTGCTAAATAGCCCCTACTAATGGTGATTCGTAAGTACAGAAACATTTTCTTTTCTTTTCACTATGTGTCTTCTATATTTCTCAGGTTGCATTGTGACTGATTTAAATAATTCTTCTAGTTATATAACTCACTTTCAGAGTATTTGAAAATGATTTCTGACTAGATATTTTAATATTTTCACAGATATGATTATAATGAAATGTCTTTGCCCTTAGTACTCATTTTCTTCATATTTGGTTTACATTGTTGAAAAATATGAAAATGCATTTCTTTTTTAGATAACACAGCTGTAATTTTGACCAATAGAATTGGTTTTAGCCGTAAAGAAGAACCTGTCTTCTCCATGATAATCTTTATTGCTGACAATGGAATCCCATCTCTTACAAGCACAAACACCCTTACTATACAAGTCTGTGACTGTGGAGAAAGTGGAAGCACAGAGACTTGCACTAGCAAAGGACTCCGTTTTATCATGGGATTCAAAACAGAACTAATAATTGCCATCCTCATATGCATTATGGTAATATTTGGTAAGTTATTTTGAATAGCACAAATTTTTATTTGCAAAATAAAACTAAAAATATTTGAAGGAGTTGGTTATAAAATATTCTCTGTACATGTTTATTTTCTCCAAACATATTGAAGTTTAAAACCAAGTTTACTTGGCTTTTAATTCTTTGTGTTTGTTGCATATTTGATATTTCTCACATGTTACAAAAATGTGTGGTGATATATTATTTATGATTGGCTTATAATTCAGAAAGTAAAGTTATTTTGAAGCCAGGAAACCAGGCACATACCTTCAATTCCTGAAAACAGAACCTAGTAGATGGTGGTACATTCCTTAAATCCTGCAATTCAGGATTCAGAGGTAGGCTTATCTCTGTGAGTCCAAGGCTACCCAGATCTATACAAGGTTTATCCAGCCCTAAGGGGAAACATCTCACACAAAAAATATCTCAGCAACCGGGATCTAATGTCCTTAACTCCAGCATTAGGTAACTATGTAAGACTGGAGCAAGGTCTCGGTATCTACCCTTCATTCTCTAGCCACACTGAAAATAGGAATTCCCCATTCCTTTTAGAGGCAAAAGCTCTCTAGTAGATTGGCTGCTTTGCTTCCCTGAACATCAGGTTGAACCCCAATATCTATCTCTGGGTCTTTTCTTTAACATGGAACAATTGGCAATCTACTTTAAAGTATGAATTTGGGAAAAAAAAACAGCTTTGATGCCACTAGGCCAGTTCCAATCCTGAGCGTCAGGCAGAAATCCTGCTTAAATCTCTCCTGCCTGTGTCCCTTCCTGACAAACTATGTTTTTTTCTGTTTTCTCCTCAAATCTTTGCACGAGTGTGGGACTTCATGTTTCACCAAACTCAGGAAATGTTCTGGCTTTTTCTAAAGACCCTCTCCCCTGGCTAACACTTTCATCTCAAGACTATAAGCAAGTTCCCTGACTCAGACATGCTACATCTCACAGTTCACTGACGTTGACAGATTCGGTAAGGTACTGGAAATTCTTAAAAGGAGGAATTAGTTTAAAAAAACAGTTATTTTCCCATAGTAAAAAATGGAGAACACTATTAAATAGAGAAAATTAGGTCTGTGTATGATTGCATACTGGGTGGTTTAAAAATGGAACATGGAAAGTTAATCAACATAACCAGATTTGACCTACTATTTATTATTTTGATAATCTTTGTTGTCTTTTTGGTAATTATTGGTTCATCTCTAAAAATATTGGTTCAGATGTGTGCTAAGATGCAGGCCTCATAAACAAATTACAGTGATATTCAAACATATACTGAGAAATTACATGGAGAACCTAAATCACATTGCATTTTGAGGTTAAAAATAAACACTCTAATGGGTAAGAGAACCACCTTTAATATATCCAGTAACATTATAAAAAGTGCCAAATAAAGGAGATTTTATAACAGCTACATGGAAGACACTGACAATATTAGATTTATGGAAATTCAAGGAGGCTGATGTGTCACATGGCATCCATTCACCATTTATTAAACAAATGATAAGCATGTGGTCTGTTTGCAATAGGGTTATTCCTGTAGATTTTACAGATTGGATTAAAGCTCTCTTAGATCCTGGACCACAATTGCAATGGACTTCTGGTTCAGAGAAGAGGCTAAGAATATTAAACAAACAGCTAAAGCTTGAGGTATAAATAATTTCCAAAATCAAATTCTTCAAGGAGATTATGCTACTTTAGAGAGGCAATGTCAACATGATGATCATCTCATGCTTTTAATGCATGCAGAAGCTTTAAATGCTTTGATAGAATTAGAGAAGGAGGAAAGCAAATTGGATCAGTTACAATAGTTATACATGGCCCAAAGGAAGTGTTCATGGACTTCATAAAAAGATTGTCATTAGTCATCAATGAAATGGTATCAGATACTTAAGCTAGGAAAATAATAATTGAAAAAATGGCATTTGAATATGCTAATGCGCAATACAAAATGAAAATTATGACTTTAAATGCAAAATCAGCATATTTGGATAATTGGGTTAGATATATAATTAATATTGTAGCTCATGTTTCTGATGATGATGCATGGATAGAAGATGTGACTTTAAGAGGTTAAAAGAAAAATCAAAATTTCAAATGTTTTAATTGTGGCAGACATTGTCACCTAAAAAGACATTGTAAACAGAGCATTTCTGAAAGCAATTATTTTATAAATATAATCCAAACAGAATACCTCTCCCTTCTGGATTATGCAAAAAGAGTGACCAAGGCAGACATTGGAAAAGTAATGTAGGTAGGTAAAAGATTATCAAGGTAATTCTTTGCCTTCAGGGCATGCCTTGAGAGTATTCTTGAAAGCCCCTATGCTGAAACTGGTTCATTCCTCTCCTGCCACTGTGGAGGAAACTTCTTCCCAAAATAATTTAAAAACCTAATACCCAATGAAAGAACACATATTGTTTTGGATGATAGAACACCTTTAGAAAATAAAACAAAAATTGAGAAGAAGCCATAGATCAAATTTATAAGGATTAGATTAGGAACCTCCCAAATGTTAGGTTTGGGGAACGGTTTTGATTTTGTCTTTTCAGGAAAATAATAAAAAACATCTTTGGGAATTTAACAGCTTGGACAAATAGTCATACCAAGAAAATGAAAGAATTATCCAGAAATAATTACCACAAAAAAAGAAATAATCTGGCCTAATATGATCTCTGAAATCTCCAAAAACAAGGTTTGTAACACAAATAAATAAATGACCCAGACACTGATTTTTGTGGTTCCAATTTTAAGCTGAATCTCTTAAAATCAATCCTGCTGGCCACTAGATTCTCAACTCTATCTCAGGATGAATGGACTGATCCAATCATGAGCTCTTGACCAAGGCTCAAACTGCTGAATCTCCTCAATGTGTTTGGAGAATCCTGAGACTGCAATGTCTTTCTATCCTCCTTGAAACTGAGCCCTCCTGACTTTAATGTGGCTGGAGAATCAATGCCTCATCTTCAGTGTGGCAGGAGAATGAATGCCTCCTACTCAATACTGAAGACCCTGCTTCTATCTTTTGTACCCCTCTAGTACTTGGACTAAAGGCATGCAATCTGTTACTCTTTTATACCGATTCAATCTCATGCATCCCTAGGTGGCCTTGATTTCAGAGAGATCTGTCTACTTCTTTATCCTGACTCCTAGGAATAAAGGTGTGTATCACCACTTCTTAGGTTCTGGATGCTGGTATTAAAGGCGTGTGCCTGACTTTGTTTCTGAATCCTCAGGCAAGCTTTAATAAATCATAAATAACATTTCATTACAAAAACTGAATGCAAACTGGGTAAAGGTCACACATAAATTTTTCCCTATCACATGGGAAACAGCAACAAGATTTCAGGGAGTTTGAGGCCAAAGCTGTCTACAAAGTAAGGTTCAGGACAGTCAGGACTTTTAACACAGAGAAACCATGTCATGAAAAGCAAAACAAAACAAAAAGGAGAAAAAGTAACCCAACAACAATTTTACCAGGACTATGATAATCCCTATAAACTGAACAATAACATTTAAAGACTGACTTTGGAATACAAACTGCTCAGAACAATTTCAAAGGGACCAGCTGAGATGATCTATCCTCAGAGACACTGCTCTAATTAATTTTTAGTAGGTCACCTGAGATGATCCATTCTCACAGATACTGCTCAGAAAAATTTCATGATGGTCAGCAGAAATGATCCAGTCTTACAGACATTGCTCATAATTATTTCGAGGAGGTTATTTATCTGAGATGAGTCGGCCTTACAGACTACTATAGTCATGGTACAATTATGAAGAGACTGGACAAAAATGATGCAGCTTGGCAGTTAATTCAAAGTTTTCTTTTCAGAATCTCCCAAAGAGTCCTTTGCTCCCAGATGGAAGGAAGTAGCTTTAAGGAAACAATGCCTTTTTCCCAAAGAGGTGGGGTGGGTTGTATTTGGCCATTCCTTAGGTTATGGATATTTGCCATTGTTTAGGAGGAATGTTTACAAAGGATTAGTTACAGTCAGGAACGAAGTTCAACGAAGGGGTTTTGATTCAAGTTTCTTACTTTGAAAAGAAAGGAATTCAGGTATGACAGGATAAAGGGGCATATTATTGAATCTGCTCTTGAAAAACAGGGATGATATAGTTATCATAAGATTTAAAAGGTACATTATTGGATCTGTTCTTAAAAATTAGTTTTAAATATTTTACACTTGATTGGACTTTTGTATATTATACACAAATATTTTATATTGATACAATCATGAAATTAAATGGTTAAAACATACTGTAGGTACATTTCTAATCTTGTTCAAGGTGTTGGACAGCTCATTAATCAATGTAATGCAAATTTCTAGTTTCTGAAAATATTATTACCAACTATATAAGATAATAAGGAAATATAGGTTAGTAATTAGTCAACTATTACAATCAAATGTTAAGTCATATTAAGCATATCATTAACATGGGCATTGGAGTTCCAGCCAATGTCAATTTGCATAAACTGTGGCAGAAAAATGAGCCTTGATCCATATTAGCTATTTATCTCAGCACTAGATCAAAGGGAGGGGTTATATGAGATCCTGGAGGCTATAGCACCATTTTTGAGGACATAAAGCACCCAGTACATATTCTATATATCAAGATTACACAACCAAATTCATAGCAACAGATATTCTAGAGTCTGTATTTCTTGCAGACTTTGCAAGGCAAGTTTTCTCAATCAGACGTTAATTCTGGTAGGTTGATATTTAGAATATCAATTTCTTCTTCTGTAATAAAAGTCAGTTTTTCAGCATGTCTTTGACAATAATAGTTTTAAAAGAATAAAATTGCCAGGCATCGGGCGTTGGTGGTGCATGCCTTTAATCCCAGCATCCGGAGGCAGAGGCAGGCAGATCTCTGTGAGTTTGAGGCCAGCCTGGTCTACAAAGCAAGTTCCAGGGCAATACAGAGAAACCTTGTCTCGAAAAAACAAATAAATAAATACATACATACATAAATAAAATCTACCAGAAACTGTTAATGTATGACAACAAGGTCTGAAATATAAATAAATATAGTATATATACATATGTGTGCAGTTTATAGTCTATTCATACTATGAATAAAATATACATAGTACTCTATAAATGATAACTTTAAAAAGAATTGTTCCATGATTTTGCCTCAATGAATATCAAATAGTTCCTCTTTTAAACTTCCATTATCATGTATCATTGATTACTAAGTACATTCAGTTTGGTAAAATTCTATTATTGCACTTTTTTCTGTATATTACTGGAAAATGAATTAAATTGCAAATTGAGTTTTAAATTAAATAAAAGCAGTGTAATTTATTTTCTCCACACATTCCTATAAAGCATCAGCCAGAATCATGACTGTGCTTCAGATATCATTTAATGTTTACTTGTTTCTGTAGAGTCTTAGACCTTAGGAAATTTCTTGAACTTGTGTTAAATGCAAGGACTGCAAAATTTACACTATGCTCCATGAGTTAATTCATGTTCATATGTCATTTTTTCACCAGGGTTTATCTTTTTCATGCTGGCTATGAAACAACGGAGAAAGCAGACCCTATTTCCAGAGAAAAGTGAAGAATTTGGAGAGAATATATTTTGTTATGATGATGAAGGTGGTGGGGAAGAAGACTCAGAGGCCTATGATATTGTAGAGTTGAGAAGCAGCACAGTAATGAGAGAAAGGAAATCTCGCAGGAGCAAGAGTGCAGAGATCATTAGCTTTTATAGGCAGTCCTTGCAGGTGGGCCCAGACACTGCCATATTCCGAAAATTCATCCTAGAGAAGCTGGAAGAAGCCAACACAGATCCATGTGCTCCTCCCTTCGACTCACTGCAGACCTTTGCCTTTGAAGGCACAGGTTCATCAGCTGGCTCTCTCAGCTCCTTAGGATCCAGAGCCACTGATCAGGAAGATAATTTTGACTACCTTAATGACTTGGGTCCTCGCTTTAAAAGATTAGCATGCATGTTTGGTTCTGCAATGCAACCAAACAATTAAAGCTTCCCTATACCAACAGGCAAGAAGTATTAAGTTGCATTTACATGAAGTGGCAGGCTTTTTGTAGAATTGTCGTCTCTGGCAATCTATATGTTAGGGGTCCTTGCTTTTATAATTATGATAATTTCAAGTACATAGCCATGGTCATTTCAACTTCAACATGGAGATGGGAAGGGAGAAAACAAATCATATTTCATATACCACTGCAAGTCACTGCTGCTGTTATCATTAAGATGGTCCTCCAGAATGTTTCCATATAATCTAATGCATATTCTCAACAATTCAGAAGGCCAAAATGAGTAATGTACCAAATAAATCTATCTGCACAATTTTCAACTACCCACGTTTTTACAAGGTAAAAATGAAGTCTCTACATATACTAAATTCCTGATTCTGTGCAAAGATCAATTTTGAGACCTGGGAGAAACCAGGGTGCTTCATAAAGACTTCTTCATATGTTAGCAGTTTTCTGATTGAGGTTCCATGAAGTATTTGATTATGAAATTTTTATATTTTTGCCAAGATTACTCTTTAGTACTCTGAATTTGATCATGTATTTAATATATGAATTAATCAGAGTTGCACTTTAGCTCATGTTGCTTCACTTATTCTGAGTTTGTATAACAATTGGAAGCAAATTAGGGAATTTTCATTGATTAATATGCTAACACCTCCAAATGCCAATTCTTTTCATGAAAAACTACAATAACCAAATGCATGTCAACATTTACTTATGATTAAATTGTACTTTTGTAACTGATGAGAAGTGCAGAAAAATTTAAGTATATTTTCCATTCTACTTAAACTGTGATAGATGAATGATGGTAATACTATATTCCAATTTGAATTACTATTTACCACACGTTATAAACACCTGTACTGTGTTTCCATTATTTATATGAATATATAAATAAAACATGATGCCAGTCTCTGCATTTCTGTTTAATGTTAGGTACTTAGGTACTTCAGTGTTATTAGTTCGTATTGAATCTGAAATCATATACAATGGAAATTTTTGTTTATAGTATTATGGAATATAAAGTGCTAAACTGTCATACAGACAACTCTCAGGTAAATTAGACTATATATGGCCATAAATTATGATATTTTTAATTTACTTTTTAAGAATGCTTATTATATCAAAACAATGATAGTCAAAATTGATAGCTGAATAGAAAATAATGCAGTGAGTACAATTCTCTTCAATTTGATTTTTATAACTATTTTTATTAATAGTGTATGAACTTAAATTAAAGTATATATATTTATATGTAACAGGGCACAGGATAGTTACATTTTTTCTTTGCATTCTGAAACTTAAACATCTATGTAAAATAATAAAAGAAAAGTATAAATATGAAATGGGAATCATCTTTGTGTTACATATATTTTCATGTTGTAAGATCATGAAACAGTCACATATGAAATACAACCATTAAGACAGTAAAAGTAAATGAGACATTGTAAGCTACAATAGATCATTACACATTAAATAATATTATTATGTAAAGAGGAAAACTAGAAAACAAAAATATTACCCCAAACCACAAAACGTATAATTCATATAGAGATGTATGACTTAGTAATTTATTATTCCTATCATATTGGCCTACTATCCAATCATAACTTATACAAATTACAATGATTAAAAGCAATCCATCAATAATTATTCCGTAAATTTAAAAATGAGTTTCATAGACTCTTTTCTGAAGACCTGAAAATTATGGCAAACAAAGGTGACTAAATACAAATAATATACAGTCAAGAAAAGAAATCATGTCTTCAGATCACAGCATGGAATTTATGCCTTAACCCCCTGGTCATCTGTATGAACGACTTATATGCATTATATAAAATATATAGCAATATGTTTATTGTTCATGTCCAGTTACTCTTAGAAGATTTCTTATAAATACATCATGATTACAATCGTGATATGTCGATATGTCATTAAAACATAACATTTTTAGTCATCCTAATGAATATGATCTAATACTAGGAAATGCATAACAATCCTACATACATGCTTCAAATTGCCATTGATTAAAATGAGTGATATTCATTTATTCAAAGAATATAAGCAGTAGTAAGTACTCAGAACACATTTTGTGCCTCTTGATATGAGTATGAATTACTTTAAGTGAATTTAACTACTTGTCTGAACTTTGTATGATCTTTGTTACCATCTAATATTTTGTATTCTCAGTTTATACTGTTTAACCAAGGGTGAGCCTCCTAATTACATAGTTATACCAAAGAATAAATAACAAGATGGAAATAGAATAGTATGTTAGAGAGTGGCAATATGTAAGGACTTAGTCAATGACTGAGAATCATGATGGTATCCAATTTCTTTTGCTTTGTTGGCAACCCCTTTTCTCCTGGGAAAGAGCGCTTCCAAAACTTCCCAGCATCTATTAAAATAAACAATGACCCATATAGCATTTATGACTCACTTCTTACATGTTCATGATCTCCCTTCTTTCTTTCTGTATTATTTTAGTTTCTTAATTATATTTTATCTGTCACTGTCATCTCAAAAATATTTCTCTTGTCCCTCCCTCCTCACATTTGGTCTCTTCTCTGAAAGACACACCTGTCTACTAATTCACTCTTGGTAGTCCTTGCTTTCCCTATTTTAAAAAAATTACAATACTTAGCTACTTGCAATTAATAATAATACAAAAATATACAGTTTTCTCTTTTTCTCAAATATTCAAGTATAAGGCCTATGTGATGTAAAAGTCATGTACTTTGTTATTTTATACTTTTGCTATAGGACATAGAAAATGAGCCATAAATATTTTTCTTTGGATGTAAAGTAAACTCAAATCTTTTTTAAATTAGTCACATGAAGAATTTCTATAAATTATTTACATTGCATATTAGAATATAATGTGGAATTAATGTGTTACTAAGAAAAACTCATTTCAGGATAATTATTTAAAATGGAAATGTTTGTTCTTATCTTTTGCTATCATGACACATTTTAGCTTGTATTCATCAGTTAAAAACAGTGCAGTGTGTATTAATATTAATAATACATTCATATTATTGAGTTAATATAAATTCTTTGACTATTAATGTAGACAGATTTATGGACAGGTTTTCATGGTATATAAAATATAGAATATTAAAACCACATATCAAGGTCCTATAGCACAATATAGAACAAAATTTGTACCTCATGTGTACTTAGGCATCCAATGCTCTTCAAGTTATATGAGTTAGCTTGAGTCTTGGACTCTACCCAACAATGTAAAGCCTAATTATAAAGATGGAATCAATGTATGCATGGCATTTTATACAGTCTAATATTGCTGGATATATATCTATTTAAATTTTTTTGCCGCAAAACAAGAAACTGCAAGCTGAATTTCTAAGTAACAAAATGGAATTTTTAGAATTTTTCTATTACTAACTTATGGAGCTCTGCAGGTGGCATCTGATCAACCCTGCCATTATGGGGAAAACAAACCAAACAAAGTTATGAGTTTTCTTTTCTTTTTTTGTTTTCTTTTTATTGTTTTTTATTTTATTTTATGTATGCTTTTTATTTAAATTAGAAACATGCATGCTTCAAATGTCAATCCCGGTTCCCCCTTCTCCCTCCACAAGCTCCACCCCCTCACCCCACTCCCAGCCCAATCACCACATCATTCCCCAGGGAGGGTAAGACCCTCCTTGCGGGGATCTCCAGAGTCTGTCATTTCATCCTGCATAGGACCTAGGCCTTTCCCCATGTGTCAAGGCTGAGACAGCATCTCTTCATGTGTAATGGGTTCCCAAAGTTCATTTGTATGCCATGGTGAACACTAGTCTACTACCCAAAGTCCCAGAGGTTTCTGAGACCTCCTCACTGACACTACATTCATGGAATCTGGATCAGTTCCCTGTTGTTCTCTTAGTCATCAGTCTGGGGTTCAAGAGCTCACCCTTGTCCAGTCAGCTGTCTTTGAGGGTTTCACCAGCACGTTCCTGACTCCTTTGCTCATCACTTCTACATCTCTGTTACTGGGTTGTAGGGGATCAGTTCAGTGTTTAGTTGTGAGTATCTGTCTCTGCTTCCATCAGTCACAGGATGAAGGTTCTAGGATGTCACATAAGGTAGTCACCAACCTTATCATCAGGTAGGGGCTATTAATGTTGTCTCTCCGCTATTAATTAGTTTTCCAGCTGGTGTTATCCTTGAACATTTCTAGGAATCTCACTCGTGTCAGCTCTCTACTCAACCTATAATTACTCCATCTATTATGGTATCTCTCATCCTGGTCTCCTCTATTCTTACCCCGACTCAGTCTACCTGCTCCTCCATGTCTTCTTCTACCCTCTTCTTATCCCTGTCTCTTTTTCCTGGTTCTCTCTCTTCTCCCTCCATGTTCCCAATATACTCAGGAGATCTTGCCTCTTTCTACTTCTCTGGAGTATAATAGGTATCTCTTGGGAATCTCCCTGTTTTCCAGACTCAATAGCCCTGGGATTGTATGCTGACACTCCCCTGATCTATGTCTAAAATCCATATATAAGTGAGTACATACCATGGTTGTCTTTTTGTGACTGGGTTACCTCACTCAGGATGGTTTCTTCTAGTGCTATCCATTTGCCTGAAAATTTCAAGATTCCGTTGTGTTTTTCTGCTGAGTAGTACTCCACTGTGTAAATGTATCACATTTTTTCTATCCACTCTTCAGTTTTGGGGCATCTAGGTTGCTTCCATGATCTAGCTATTACAAATAATGCTTCTATGAACATAGTGGAACAGACATCCATGTTGTATAAATGGGCATCTTTTGGGTATATGCCTAAAAGTGGAATTGCTGGGTTGTGTGGTAGACTGATTCCAAATTTCATGAGGAATGTCCATACTGATTTCCAAAGTGGCTGTACAAGTTTTCACTCCCACCAGCAATTGACGAGTGTTCTTCTTTCTCCACATCCTCTCCAGCATAAGCTATCATTGGTGTTTTTTATTTTAGCCATTCTGACAGGAGGAAAATGGTATCTCAGAGTTGTTTTGATTTGCATTCCCTTAATGGCTAAGGATGTTGAGCACTTTCTTAAGTGTCTCTCAGCCATTTTAGACTCCTCTATTGAGTATTCTCTATTTAGTTCAGGCCACCACTTTTTAATTGTGTCCTTTGGTGTTTTGGAGAATAGCTTCTTGAGTTCTATTTTTCAAATTTTTGAGATCAGTCCTCTGTCAGATGTGGGGTTAGTGAATATCTTTTCCCAACCTGTGGGTTGCCTTTTTGTCTTGCTGACTGTGTCCTTTGCCTTACAGAAGCTACTCAGTTTCAGGAGGTCCTATTTATTAATTGCTGATCTTGGTGTTTATGCTACTGATGTTATGTTCAGGAAGCTGTCTCCTGTACCAATTAGTTCAAGGGTATCTCCCACTTTCTCTTCTATCAGGTTCATTGTGCCTGGATTTATATTGAGGTCTTTGATCCATTTGGACTTACATTTTCTGCATGGCAATTGACATGGATCTATCTGCAGTCTTCTGCATGCTAATATCCAGTTTTTCCAACACCATTTGTTGAAGATGCTATCTTTCTTACATTGTATAATTTCAGCTTCATTGTTGAAAATCAGGTGTTACTACATTTGTGGATTAATTTCAGAGTCTTCAATTCTATTCCATTGGTCTACCTGTCTATTTTTGTGCCAATACCAGTCTTTCAATAGTCAGAAACATTCCAACTTTAGAAATAGTGCAAAGATAGTAAAAGCTAGGAAGAAGATTAAAACAGTCATCCAAAATATGTTTCACATGTGTATGAAAAAAACAGTCAAGAAGTCCTACAGTAGTATCTCTGAAAATAAAGTGTATGATGCATCCTAGGAGAGAGCAATCTTAGACTCAGTATTTTCACAGAAGACAAAGCTCCAGAATATTTATCATCATCTTAACTCTAAGCTTCCTATC